CTTTCTCAAACACAGGAGCATTGAAATTCTCATCAGCATCATCTATTAAGACTGTCACATTCGCCTCGCTCGTCTCAAATGCAGTTAAGAGCAGCTTAAATTCGTATCTTTGTCTCGATTCAAAATCCAAGCTTTTCACTAAGTACAGGAAACCGCTATTAGCGTCCACTTCAAAAGGAATTTCTTGAGGGGATAAAACTGTAAACTTGGGCTTCAACCTTGCTAAATGGACAACAACTGGGTGTAAGATATGGGAGTTGACTGGCAAGTCTTCGCAAATTCTTACTAAATATGATTGCTTTGCAAAGCGAGTAGGTACCTCCAAAGGTTGCGGAAACCCTTTAAACAGTTCAATTTTAACCACAGTTTCTGTGCGTTTAGGGGGGTTTCCTCGATCTTGAGCAACGATTGTCATTTCAATCAAATTCCCCGCAGTAAAATCTAAGCTTCTTGCCACCCGTACGATTCCAGTATGTGGGTCAAGGGTAATGGAATCATCATTGTGTGTTTTGGCTGGAAATTTTTTAAAGAAATAATAGATTTTAGAGTTTTGTTCTGAGTCCTGATCTTCAGCGTGAACTTGGAGTATTTCTGTTGAAACAGGGGTAGTGGAAAGAACAGAAACCCGATATTCTGATGATGTAAATTGAGGAGAACAATCGTTCTTATCCTCGATATTAATTCGTATTTGCGTGCGTGCTCTTGGTGTTGGTTTCCCTCCGTCTGAGGCTTCCACTGTCAAGACATAAAACGAAGACTCCTCGCGGTCTAACTTCACTTTCGTTCGAATATTTAAGAATTTAACTCCACTCAGTTCTTCAGTAACTGCTTCAAATTTGTCCGCACCGTTTCCAGGAAGTATTTTATAACTGTTGACGGAGTTTGCATCTGTGTCTAAGTCTGTGGCGTAGGTCCCATGCAGACCTTGCACTATAGTATCTTCGTCTTCGTTTTCTTGTACAGAGCCGACATACAAATCTTTCTTAAACCGAGGAGAATTGTCGTTAAGATCATTAATGGTTATTGTTAAAGAACAAGCATTTACCCATGTTTGGGACGACCTTCCTCCAATGTTACTTTGAGTCTTCGCTAACACTGTCAAAGTGAACTCATTCCCTCTCTGGTCTTCGTGATCTAATGTAACAATATTTGTTACAATTCCCGCGGGTGCTATTTGAAATATATTCAGCGCTGGTGCGGAGTCTTGATGGAAAGTATATATAGTATTCTGAACTTGTTTAAACTTAAACAAAACAGTCCCAGCTGTGAGACCTTCATTGAATGCAACCTTTCGCGGTGTGCCTGTACACAGCGACCCAGTGAAAGCTGCTAGGCTTGATACATGTTCACCAAATACACTCCACGTTACTGCAACCATAACCCAAAACATCTTAAGTCTACTCATATTTTCAAAATGTTTAACCGTCCACAACTTTTAAACGTTCCTCCACGCAGAGTCAATTATACAAGCCATTTGATGTTGTACTGTGTGATTATTATCTTCAGCTGTCTAGTGTAACGTATGGCCGGTAGCTTACGTTGGTCGAAAACCTTCCTGATAACTTGCCACGAAAAATAAACACGACGGCAAATATGGAGCATATTTTGGATACAGTTTAGAGATTATCTTGCCGCGATTATACCAAGCTTTCCGCGGTATTGCAAGGTGATTCACAACATTAGCTATCACGCATTATTGAATTGATAGGCTGTGTTTACAGACCGACAAACGAGCATGCGTAGTGGCTGGCTGGTGTGTGAGTTATCAGGAGTGTAAACGGTTTTCTGAGTGCAAGAAATAAATGTCAATCTTCGCGACCAGATGAGAATTGTAGATAAGAGAATTGCTCACGCACGAGAGGGAGTATACATTATTAGGATTGAGTCCATTAACAAACTCACATCAACTGTGATGAAAAATTACTGCGCGTGGGAAGATGTTAAATATAGGCAGCGGCGTGACAAAGCACCTATCCAATACGTATACGGAATGTAGAACTTTCAGAAGCTCAGCGAAACAACCGTTGCAATAATTCCTCCGAAAATAGCGTTCGGCCATAAAGGTGCTGATATGTGTTTTTCACGTCGCTACGAAAAACTATATCCGGCAGAGTGTGAACGCGGTCAACGTACAAACTGTTCACCTGGTATATTCCAGTCAATGACTGCTTCCGAAAATTAGAGTTATATATCTTTAGAAAATTAGAGTTATATATCTAGTTATATATAAGGTTAAAAATTAAAAATTTATGGACAATCCAGAGCAGCGGAATTGTGTTAAGAAACCCCCTAAACTCTTAAATGTCTTATACGTCTTGACTCATAATTAGGGCTGTATATCTGGACAGGAAAACTAAAACACCATCTCTTAGCATTTGTATTATGTATTTATATGTTAAATAATCTGTAAATAGAGTGTGAAAAATATATGGGCTCTTGTGAACTAAGTTTGAAACGAAGTAATATAATACGTAAGCTTTATGTATAATACACTCTGCAGAGCATGAGCAAACTGAAAGACAACTATGAAGACGAAATGCATGTATAAGTTTGAGCAACAGAATGAAGTAGGGAGAATAGCCGAATTACTAAATCATAATGGTGCGCGAGTTCTGATTATATGTTAAAATAGAATGTTTAGCGCTTACGGATTGCTTCTTATTAATCTCTTTAGACATGCGGCTAGTAAGTACCGTTGACAATTGACGAGGAATTAAGGACTTTAAGATTCAAACCGGCAAGGATTAAGATGAAAGAGAACTATTCACAAACTGTGGATGAATCGTTTCAAATATCCTTAAATTAAAGTCTTCCATAAAGGTTTTATAAAACAAAGCTCATTGTCTTTGTTTTGCTTTTTTTAAGATTTGAGTTGTTTCAGAAAACTCTCTGCTTTCAATAAGTTTTTGTTTCTGTTTTTTGTTAAACAACTGACGTTAAAGTGAGAAATTAGAAAAAATCTATCTTGATCTGGACTTGTCATATAACATTATTAGCGGAAATAGCGTTTCTTGAACTTTAACTTACAACAATCTATTTACAGCTCGAACAGTCAAACCGAGGCCACTTGCGTATTTTTAATGTTTTCAAACTAAGCCAAAACCAATAAAAAGTCTGCAGTAGCAGATATTTAACGGGGAAAATCTCGTAGTCGTACCAGATTTCGTAGCCGTAGCGAATCTAAAGTTCCCTATTGTTATTTTGGCGCCATATTGCATCATAAAGAAGCTGTTTGTCTATTTTAATATATTTACGTTTTATGAGTAAACTCCAATATTTGCGTGTGTTTATAGGTTATTTTGGTAAACTTTAAGTGCAATATATTATTTGAAGGTTTAACAAAAAAAGCGCCCGCATTTCAGTTTTACTTGGCCTAATGAAGTCTAAATGTAATTTTGAACCTCAGTCAAAAATCCCAAACAACTAGGTAAATATTTGATATTTTCTCCATGTATATACTTATCTGCTTTTTTATGTAAACAGAAAGAATTCAACAAAATTCATTGAAGAGTTCAATATTTTATCTTGTTATGACAGAAAGATTAAATAGAAGGATTAAATATTAATTCCTTTTACTCTTCACCTTGTTAATCCTTGTTATATCTTGTCAAACATCCAAAGCTATGATGATTATGGTAACTTAATTTATTTCAACTAATTAAAGTCTTATTTAGTGATAGACAAATCAAACAACTATATTGAAATAACATAAACTATTAAGTAAAGGTTCTGGTCAGGCACTCATTGGAGTTCAAAATAGTGATTCCTTAAGTAGTCCTCCGGACTCCTCCCAAAGAAATCATGGTAAAATTTATGATAAAACCAGTAAACTGCAGAAAACAATTTTCTGTCATATACTCTTTGATGCAGTTCATGTGTAATGAATGAATGACTGAAAAACACGAGAAAATATGGAAACAAGTCAGAAATGTAATTATACACAAGAGCAAAATAAAGAAGGAAGCAATGATTAATATATACCAGCATTCAGGAAACCCACACATAGTCAGTGGCACCAGAGGCGTAACTAGAGCATTAATTGGGGGGGGGGGGTATATTCATATATTCATGTTCTGCCCGATGAAATTCTTTTGAATTTCTTTATTTTTAAGTTCATTTCAAAAGAAATTAGTCGGGCAGAACACAAATATATGAATATACACCCCTCCCCCAATTAACGCTCTAGTTACGCCACTGAGTGGCACACACACTTTGTAAAATATTCTTGCATGAAATTAGCTTGCAGGAATATGTTTTGCCCTCCTACTAAATTCTTCTATATTTTGTTTTTCATCATCCTCTCAAAGAGAAGTCTTGGAAAAGTAAAATACACATTCAAACCTTCACAGTTGATGCCAATTTCAATCTTGATGTCAAACAGTGCTGTTGGAATTATTATTTGGGAGGGGGGGCTCAACTAAGGGGAGTTGGGGCATGCTCCCCTAGAAATATTTTTCATTTCCAAAGCCCCACTAGAGCATTTACTCCCCACCCCTCCCCACGACCATTTCTGCCATATTCTTTCGAGACGTACTAATATTTAACGCTAGAAAGTGTTTCTGCAACTGTTCATTCATAGCTGCAAGAGACAGTAACTTTATTTTGTGGTTTTTGTTGGCAAACTACATTAATTAAATATATAAAAATACAATTCTCTCTTAAAACTACTTCTAAAAACACACAAATTATCACCAAGTCGATGGAGGCATCAATATACTTACTGATCAGCATTCAACGACAAATCTTCATTTTTTATGTATTTTTCTTTTCCTTTTAAAACAGTATAAAAGTACCACCAGTCAACAAAACTATTCGTTTTCTTCATTTTCATATCTGGCAATGATTTAGTAAGAACATTTGCCAAATATCTTGCAATATTTGATGAAAAACGTAAAACAAAATTCTTGAAAGTTTATCCTGGATTTCAATCTTGCCGCCATGTTGGCTTGCTCTTTAATAACATCGTTCAGGAGTGGAAAATAAATAACATCCCTCAAAATCCGTTACCAAAACACAACCTGCAGTCCAGTGAAATCTAGCTATTTTACACCAGAGAGGCAAAACAGTCAAACAGAAAATGTTTTATTACTTATTTCTACAAAATTTACTAAAAAAGACTATTGACACACATTATTTCATTAAATTTATACTACTAAATATTTAAATTATTGAACAAGGAAACAACTAAAGTCTTACGTATTCATTTGAAGCAAAGTTCCAACATTGCACTGCTAATGAACGCAAAAAAGATGGTTAATTATATGTAAACTCTGAGAGTGATTCCTTATCACATTGTATCCATGAAATTCAATTTCAAGTTCTGTAGTATATACCAACTACCTAGTTTCATGATAACTATAACAAAAATACTATTTACGTCTAAGAAATATTGTAACAACCTTGCAAATTTATCAGAACACTTTAGAAAAATCAACAACATAACTTCTGATAAATGAGCAACCGTAAGCTTAGCAACGTTCTTGACTAAATTGGTTTGAATGGTCAATACGAACGAATGCTTATGAATGTTTTAAAAACGTAGAGCAACTTTAAGTCGCTTGTTTTGGTACTTAGTTTTGTGTTTAGCTGTATTGGCAGTTCATTGACTAGCAGTGAAAACCGTCATGTTCACTTGCAAACCAAAGACAATTTCCTAACTCACTGTAGTTTCTAACTTGAAAAAATCTTTCAAGAACATTTCAAAAAAAGTCAGACCTGGTAACCAACCATTTACTGGTAACAGCTAATGTGTACTAATGTATACAACACTGAGATCAATGCCTAAGTATAGTAAATATACGAAAAAGAAAAACTAAATATAAAGTCACTAGTGGTAACAGGACTAACAAATGTTGTTACCCTGTGGATATTTGTGAAATATGTTCTTATAATAATACCTAAAGCTTAGTGACCAATGAAAACTTGTTATAAGATAAAATAAAATCTTTTCTTAAAGAAAAGTTGCACTAAATGGACCAAAGTAAATAAAGGCTATATATGAAAGAATGAAAACTAAATATTAAGCCAAGGGGATGGAAAACTTGCTGTAAGGTAAAATAAAATCCTTTCTTAAAGAAAAGGTCTACTGAGAAATGGTCACCAGTCCTCTAAGCCTCGGTTTCCTCGTCGTCGTCATCGTCTTCTTCTTCTTCAGGGTTAAAGATCTGGTTGAGATTTTCAAATTTCCTTCCCCAGTCCTTCAAGAAATCCCAGTCTTGCTCGGGTTCGTCTTCGTCATCGCTGTCTTCAATCTCACTGAGGTCTGCAGGCTCACCTTCATCTCCTTCATCACTCCAGTGTCGCATCTCGTCCTCTGGCCACCAACTCATGTCTTCGTCAGCTCTCTGTACTCGCTCCAGGATGAACGGCCAGAGGTCCACACTCTCCCTTGCCATAACGTCCTTACGTTCTCTCATCATCATACCTGCAGAGCCTGCAGAAAAAACAGATCATATTAGTCTGTAGCTTCAGGCATTTTTAGAGAGGTTTAAGAAATCACTGTCCACTGGATAGCGCTGTCCGGCCTTCGTACAAACTGCCCCCAGGCCATTTACAATGCACATTTTCCTAATATATATACAGGTTGTACTGAGATGTCAGACAGCTGAACTTGTTTTCCAACCTATAATACCATCAGATTTACGTATGTTGATCATTGGCTAGTCTTATTATTCATTTTTATTTCTCAAGGATATATACAGAAGGTTAATTTAATAAAATTATCCTTTATATCCTTGAGAAATAAAAATGAATAATAAGTTATGAACAACAAAGGTGAAAGTTTTAGAAACAAGATTGGCTAGTCTGTTTCGTGATTGTTTCATTTCCTACAAATAGGGACACTAGACTGCAGGCTCTACTTTCTCTGGAACTTGCAACGACTATTGCAAGAGGCAATATTACTTGCAATTTATGGGGCTTGGCTTATGGGGCTTGGCTTATGGGCTCTGGGGCGATTCTCGTTCCGGACTCAAAATATTCATGTAAACGACTAACGAGTCAGTCTGGCAAAAGCTAAACACAATAAGTTCATGTATCCAAAAATCAAATATGTTAAGTGGATATCAGTCAAATTATGTAAAATGTTATAAATATGTTTACAAGGTGAGTCTTACTTCCAGGCATAACTCCATCAGTTCCTTGAGACAACAGTTCAACGTTCTCAGTGGCAAGCTCCTTGCCATTCACAGACTTGGTGATAGTGCCATGACCATCTCGATAGGAATACTTCATCAAATGATGGATATCATAATTGAATGTGTCTTCTTCCCCGGCTCCATCGTCATGATACGGCATAATGCTGTCTTGACCTTCGTCTCCGACCGGTACCGAATACGGCGCTTCACGACGCTTCTTGATTACCAATAAAGCAATGGCTAGGATCAAGACACACAACACGACAATAAAAATAACAACAAGCACGCCGCCATCTTTCCATCTTGCACGACCGTCAACTCTGTTACCTGTGAACATTAACAAAACTCAGTGAATATCAAGGTAGTGATACACACATGCAAAAATCTCGCATCTTGTAGCAAGTCTGCCAACACACAGTCAACAAGTTGTGTTCATAGTTCACACTGCTTGTCTCAAGTTGTCAACAAGTATGGAGTAACTTGTTAACAGTTGTAACAACCAATATAATCATGATATATTGTTACAACCTTGTGTCGTCAACCGTGTAACATTCTTGTTATATCATGACTGTATCAGACTTGTTAGAACAACCTTGTAACAAGTCTGATAATGCCATCAAGCGTGTTACAAGTTGTTAACAGCTTGTTCCAAACTTGGTGACAACTTGTGACAAGCATTGCGAAGAGAACTTGTTGAGGGCTTGTTGAAAAACTTGTTAAAAGATGTGAGATTTTTGCGTGTGTAGGCGATAAAATGGCGATGTGGACAATTTCACAAATGTTGACTCTTATAACACGAGCAAGCAATTAGTGTTTTCTATATGGTACATCATAGTACATCATAGTACATCATACTCACCAAGTACAGGGGCAACATACACTATTTTCTCACAATTTTTTCCTGACCAACCATGGGTACATTGACAGAATGGTTCGGCAGCGGCAACACAAACCCCACCATTCCGACATAGATGCACACGCCGTGAGCAAGGACATCCTATCTCCACATTCAATCTTTCTTTTTTAATATTCGGGTCTGTGTCCATGTTCTTGCCATTGTAACTGCTGCTGCCCATACAGCCTTGAAAATAAAAATTACTTTTTAGTTATAAAGGTTCATTGAAAGCTTTGCCACAAAAGCTTACTTGGATGTTCAAGATGCCAGGGGAATGGTCAATTCGCGATTCCCCTTATTACGTTTTCGTAGCGCTTTTGCATTGTGGTTATAGTGGTATCACTGATATTCAAGATGGCTTATTTTTTGTCCTGACCCGTGCAAGAACTTTAAAAAAAAGCTAGGGTCAGGTGCGCGACAGCCAACAGCAAAATATTCGCAAAAACATTCAATATTTTCATTTGAGGCCGCTATCTTTATCAGTGATACCACTATAACCACAATGCAAAGCGCTACAAGAACGTAATAAAGGGAATCGCGAATTGCATATTGTCAGATGACCCAAGGACCTTGTAGGACCTTATAGTTGGGTGAATCTTGACGATAAATGGCTTTAATACGACAGTGGGATTCTCAAAACAATGAAAATACAATAGGCAATTCCAGCTTTTAGTTTATGCCTGCAGGGGATGATAGGAAGTAAGGTATCATATTGCTGATTATGCCGAAAAATTTCAATAACAACTACCGAAACAACCGAAATATTTCAATATTTACAAGTATAAGCTATCACTCCGTGTTTACACGGCCACCATTTTTAGTTTTTCAGCATAATCACCAATGTGATACCTTACAGTACTTCCCATCGTCCCCTGCACGCATAAACTAAAAGCTGGAATTGCCTATTGAACATTCCGATCACTGGATCATGACTGGTCTTAGTGTTATAAAAGTACAATATAAAATAATCTCAAACCTTGCATATCACCGCTAACACCCTTCACAGCTCGTCCACCAGTTGTAACACCAAGTATGGTCCCCGCAGAGCGACGATATCGGCGATCGGTGACGGACTGTTCTACGACTTTGTTGACAGTCGTCATGTTCGGAGCGATGTCGGGCAATCCACCAACCACAATCTTACCACTGCTCATGCGTATTAACTGTTTGGTTCCACCTGAAGGGTTTGCAAATAAATAAGGGTGAACCACTCTGGTTAAATATTCCTGAATGAACTACATGAAAGGCACAAGCACATTTCTCCTTGAAATGTTTCAGGTACACACGTAAAAACGCACAAGTTGTTACAAGTCTGCAAACAAGTTGTTACAAATATGTTCACAAGCTGTCAGCAAGTTGTCTTCGCACTGCTTGTTCCCAATTGTTGTAACAAGTTTGGATCAGCTGTTAACAACTTGTAACAAGCCTGATGGCATTATCAGGCTTGTCACAAGGTTGTTCTAACAAGTCTGATACAGTCATGACATAACAAGAATATTACAAAGTTGACGACACAAGGTTGTAACAATACTGCTATATCATAACTGTATCGGACTTGTTGGAACAACCTTGTAACAGCCTGATAATATCAACAAGGTTGTTACAAGTTGTCAACAGCTTGTTCCAAACTTCTTGACAACTTGGAACAAGCAATGTGAACACAACTTGTTGACGGCTTGTTGGCAGACTTGCTACAAGATGCGAGGTTATTACGTGTGTAGTTGCATTCACAGCAACCAAAGTTGTTTTTATTGGCACTAGCCACACTGGCACAGCACGCTCGAGATTATATCACATGCACCAACATTTTATTCATTTATGTAGACGTAATTCCAAACCTGTATTTCGGCTGACTCTTCCTGCATAATCCACTTGAAGTACAGCAAAGTTTCCTTCGCGTTTCACTGTCACATTGTGCCACTTTCCGTCCGCTACGTCAGCCTTTGGATCCATCTCTAGTCGAACCAAGGCATCCAATAGTTTGAACTCATAATACAACTTTTGCTCCTCGTACTAAAAGGAAATAGAAGAGATTGTTGTACGCGGAAGGTAGGAATATCTCTTAACTGTTCTCCTTAGAGATGCAGCAAAGGCTATCCCCTAGCAGGTGCAACTTTACTACTGAAGAAATTTATTTAAACACTAAACTAACTGTTTTATACACGATAGCTTTGTCACTTCTAAACTGCTCTCCCTATAGAGGTCCAGAAAGTGCCAATCCGTATTGCTACAGTGTTACTACATGCGGAAATCTGAAGCACAAAAAATGTATTGATACAGGATAGCTTTATCAGTCCTAAACTGTTCTTCCCAGAGGTCCATCGAGGTCCAGTGTTACTACAGAAGGAAATCTAAACTAAACTAACTTTATCAAGATAAGATGAATCTATCAGTTCTAGTTATATGTAGACTCAAAGTGGAGGCACACTTTTCACAGTATAATTGAAGTATAATTCGCAGTCGCAAAACAGTGCAAATCCCTCGCAATGTTGTCCTCATGTTCCTAGCGCTTACAAGAGGCACTGCCCCCCCCCCCCCCTTGGCCAAGGGTATTCTGTGATAATATATCCAGTGACGTACCCCCAATCTACTGTACTCCATTCCATCTTGACTGACAGCAAAGAAAAATATCGCCTCAGTGACGCCAGGATCCAACCGTATTTGCATAGTGATAAAATTACTAAAACGATCTAATAGATCTCCTGGTTCCTGGGCTGCCGCTCGTTTCTTGCGCTTTTCTTCTCCCGGCAAAGTGTATTCAGTGAAGCTGTTCTCCATATACCAATACCGCGGAGCATCTAAATGAGAGACGTTTTCTTAGTAACGAAGTTAGGTGCCCCTACAGCAACAAAGGCCCTTAAAAATTCTTAATACAAATTGCTTAAATGAGAATATAAACCCTAGCTGCGTTAGTGTAATATGTAATAAGGTGTGATAACTGTAAAACGACGTTTCTCCCGTTTTGTAATTATGACGTCATACCCCCCCCCCTGGAAAGTTTTGCCCCGGGCCCAGAGCATTGGCGATATTATAACAATACAAGTACTTACTTCCGCTGCAGTCATCACCAACGAAACCCGCTGGGCAGGAGCAAACACTGCGGGCGAAGCCTGGGAAACAGTAACCGCCGTTCAAACACGTGGGACACGTCGCCATGATAGTACATCCAGCTGGGGCATTCACGACCTTCAGGGGGTAGGCTAAGTCGTACATCTCCAAGTTCTCTGTGATCTTACGTATACAACCGTGAAAATGTCTATACTCGATGTACTTTGAAGTAGGATAATCTAAAGGCATGTTTTCAACACCACCAATCTGCATCGGACCAAGACCATTCAGAAACCTGAGTGCGAAAGACAATATTATGAATGTAGGATACTACATTGACCCTCTTTGAACTGGATAGCACTATCTAGGCCCAGTAAGAGTAATCTCTTAGTGGTCCAGTGCTATTGATGCAGTGTTACTACAGGAGGAAACCTAGACAAACTAACTTGATGCGGATTAAGAGAAATATACAACCACGTGAAAAATATAACTGGCACCGACAGCTCGAGATTAATAACAATAATATAATATTTAATATTTCTATTGCGCGATTTTACTTATGTATATGATCAAATGCGCATCACAATTACAGCCGGAACTGGCGTGAAGCAGAACGAGGTAGACTGTGAGCTTACAAATGGCGCTTTAAGCAGCCGCTATTAGTCCATACCTCATTAATGATCTGCCCTAGGCCTATGTGCCTAACCCACTCATATGTTATCGAGGTAAAAGTATAATCAGACAACTTCAGAAGAATGACTGTGTCACAGAATAAAGACATACAGAAGGTCGACTCGAGTAACCGCTACGACGTCATGATTCATCATCTAAAAGGCTGACGCCATGAGCCAGCCAGTAGGCGTTTGAGAGGCATTACCACTGAGCTATAATATTACGTAATATTATAGCTCAATGGGCATTACCCCCTGGACGTCCGCCATTTTGAATATTTTCAGGGGGGTGAATGCCTCTCAAACGCGCACTGGCTAAGCCCATGGCGTTAGCATTTTGATGACGAATTACGGTTACGCCAAAATCATTGGAAAATCATAGGAAAAGCAAGAAGTCGGGCTTCTGTATAGTCTATTCTGTGACTGTGTATCGCTATTACTTACTCAAAGTTTTGTGTGGTTTTCGCAATAATTTCACAATTCTCTCGTAATTCCACAATTCTTTCGTCATCGACGACGATATCCGCGTACTTGCAGTGATCAATAATCAACGTCACGTCCTTAAGAAACACAAGAATTTTGTCATACTGATGTGTACAATGCGAATTTTGCTCACGCGAAGCGACTGTCAAACAACCACTCGATGAAAACAAACCTTTCTCTCGTGTGACACTTGAACATGATGCCATTTCCCGTTATTCAGGCTCGGTCCTTTAATCATATTGATCAGCAGAGGTTCTCCTTGCCCTCCAAACGACAAACCAACTCGAATCCTTCCATCAACCAAACTGATGGCCAAGAAATCTCGGTGACCGTTGTTACCATCTAAATATAGCAGGATGTTCACTTAAACAGAAATCTATTAATCATGATTTTTTCTGTGTTGGTGTTGTGTACTCAGGTGAATATGATGTTTGTGATGTTACTCTGAGTGTATATCCACACCGGTCAAGCTTGAAAATTAAAATATGCCTGCCACGGTGGGAATCGAACCTATGACCTTTGGAATACTAGCCCAATGCTCAATCTATTTATAGAAGAGCCACCTCTTATTGGTCCAATACACAAACCTAACCTGAAGTTTATTTTATACTGGTTAAGTTATAGTTCTAGACTGTCAGATCCAGTCGCAAAGCTAGCTATGGCAACTGGTCAAGCTATGCTAATAAACCAGCTTCACCATTTTTGGGATCTAAATTGTTTTTGCTGGAGGTCCAGTAACGGTCATCCCTTATCGATCCAAACTTACTACAGTTGAAAACGTACACTAACCTAACTTTATTTACACTGGATAGCTCTATTACGCTATCTAGTCAATTCTGAGATCAGTGACAATTACCTTTCACTGCAGGGCCTTGATAGAGCAGCAGACCGCTGGCTGCATTGGTTGCAAACTCAAGTGAGACGCTACCAAAGTGATGCGGAGTCTTGGGAGGTAACCAGATGTAAGAGTCACCCTCAAATGTTCTAGTAGTAAGTTGACATCTAGGACCACTGTATGCCCCTGGACACTGACAGACAAAACCTCGTGGGACAACATCATGACATTTTCCTAGGGAATACAAATTGGATCTTTTGTTTGCATGGCCTTCAACATAATTGCTGTGAAATGGTTAGTCCTTGGTGATGGTCACAAAAGCAAGAACCAACAATAATTCTACTTACATGAATTTTGTTTCCCCTTACCTTCAATTAAGACAACTGACTCCTGGAATATAAATATCTTAATCCAACCCCACCCTAAATTCCCTTCATGCTCGTTACCCCACCCAACCTTACCTGCATTAAGACAACTCCTGTATAAAAATATCTTATTCTAGGTCAAAGCAATATGCTGCACCCCTCCCATCCCAAATTATCCCTCCTTGTCGTCAATCCCCCTCCTCTCCGACCCTCAATCTTACCTCCATTCAGACAACTGAATCCATCAATACACGTGTCATATTCTGGATCAGGATCTTGGTGATAACGATCATATTCCGCATCCGCCACCACTTTGATGGAGGTAATCGCCACAGCATAATCAGGGACTGGTATCAGACCATAATCACTACTCACGACATTAAATTCATCAACAACGGCACGGATCACATTACGACACATGCCTGATTTCAGCATCTCTTGTGCACAGTAATCAAGACCAATCATACCCAGTTTGAAACCTACAAAGAAGATTAACACCAGGGGTTAAAGTTGACTACAGGAAAGCTTAGGATTGACAGGGATACAACTACCTGAAAATACAAGGAGAACTTCGACATTTCGATCGAAGGAACTTCGTTGGGAAATTTGGCACGTAACTTCTCGACGAAGGGCCTTGGCTTGAAATGTCAACGTTCTTCTTATACTTTTCATGTAGACAAATCTCTCTCGCATCACAGCTGTTCGTTATCGTCGCTACCCACACAGACCGTTCCAGCAAGTTCTATATACTCCTTATTTGTCCAGTGTTGCTGCAGGAGAACTAAACTAATTTTGTTCATAGTTGATAATAGCTCCGTCCGTTCTAAACTGTTCTTAGAGGTACATTATTATTGGTCCAGTAATTACTACAGGAGGAAACCAGAGTGCGGCGGATTAATAGGGATACAACTACCTGAAAAATACAAGGAGAAATTCAACGTTTCGAGCGAAGGACCTTCGTCGGGAATTTAGAAGGATCTTCGCTCGAAAAGTCGAGGTTCTCCATGTATTTTTCAGGTACTGTAGTTGTAGTATCCCTATCAATTCAAATCTTTCTTATTATTGCCACTACCTACTCTGACTGTTCAAGATTTTACCCAGAGAAAACCTGTGGTGTGTGGTCAAATTGGAAGCATTCTCGTGCGAAAGAGAGATTCCGTATTTCTTACCAATGTCGTTGAGTGTTGTCGTTGAGTTACGATGCTCCAAAACATTGATCAAAAGCCAACGAGGTAAGAAAGAACTTTTCACCGTCGACTCTTTCCTGATGGAGAAATGAACATCTATAGCAGGATAGGGTCTCCCTGGCTTCACTTGTTTGGACACTTGAATACTAAACACAAACACATTGTCTACGGAAACACCGAACAAATTAGACAACATATTCACAAAACGATCATAGTAGGTAATCGTTTCAAAGTTGTTGCTCGTCCCCACACGGATGGGATTTAAGAATCGGTTAGGGTCCAGGACCTCGTGAAGTTGAATCGCCGCACTGTTTTCAATTGCGTCCGAAGGAATATCACGAACAATGACGTCAACATCGCAAACTGGTCGCGAATTTCCTCTTCGTCCTAGAATCTTGAGCTGGTACTTGCCAAGCTTCACAGTGGGCTTAGCGGTGATCCAGCCGTCTTCAGCTTTTACTGCGAAATCGTCTGAACCTAAACACAACGTTTGGATAATTAAACATAACAAAGTCTGTAAAAAGACGCTGTATGCAAATGGCGTATCTACATCACAGAATACTATACAGAAGTCCATCTCCATTGTTTTTTGCGTAACTGCTATTCGTCATAAGACAAGCGTTAAGTCATCGCGAAAATATTTCGTGCACTTATACTGTACCTATCAAGCTGTATGTCATAGCGCTGCTATCACCGTCACCATCTGTATCTTTGAAGTAAGTCTTGGCAACCTCACCACCGACAAACTTTCCATTTACAGCATTCACAACAACCCTCATTCTCGCGGAGCTTGTGGGACTGGAGTGGTCATCTCGATCTGCTACATGCACAAAAACATTTACAGTAGATGACAGTTTTGGAAAATCTTTTTGTGGTGGATCATCGGTTGCCTTGATGACCACTTTCAAATCTGGGGTAACCTCACGGTCAATTACACCAGAACAATAGAGTTGCGAAGTGTTGTGGGTGGGATTACGTAGTTGAAATCGGGTGCCAGGGTTACCATTTGGAGCAAATTCAATTTTGAACGGTCCTTGGTCTGGCTCGTCATCATCGACTACGGTAATGGTGGCAAGTGGTGTGTTAGCATCACACGTTCCTTCTAGGATTGTGACAGAGTAGTATGGAGGTAGGAACCTTGGCGCATTGTCGTTCTTGTCCGTCAGGGTGATTCTAAGCCAAGCTGTGTCTGCAAGGTAATGGATTGTCATTGTTAACATCGATATCCACTTTGAATAATAGCCGGATTTATATTAGAGACGGTTGGTCCGTTTGGATGGAATTGGGGAAGGAAAAAACTAATTCGTCCGAAAAGACAAAGTCCTTCACCTCTGAGATCGTGGCTACGGACTCAGGCGTAAAAAAAATACCTGTGGTTCCGGTTCCCGACCGACCCTATTTTTTTCTGCCGACCCTATTATTTTTCAACGCGATTGACCGTGCGACCCTATTTTCTCCAGGTGGTTGCGGGCTGCTCATACAGCGTGCCAAAATGGCGTCTGTTGTCACAATAATTATTGAACCAAATTGCCTCAATTCGTCCATAGGAAATACGCACCTCTAGTTAATATTGATGTCGGGACTCTACTGCAAATCGCCCAGCAAAAAAACGGCAAAACCATGAAAAAACTATTAAAAAAAAAATTTATTTCCGACCTACCGACCCTAATTTTTTCACGATATGAAACCGGAACCACAGGTATTTTTTTACGCCTCATGTGAAACGAATCTGTCGACGCTATGCCGAAACTTCTTTGCCCAAATACAAGTACTGTGGCTTCAAATTTGCTATGCCGAAACTTCTTTGCCCAAATACAAGTACTGTGGCTTCAAATTTCAAAAATGTCTTGGGAGAGAATGGCCCCGGACCACTGTAGTAATACACCCCTCTCTGGAAAACCTACACCCCTCTAACCAATCAGGCCAGATCCGCAACTGCATAAAAGCATAGCATTAAATTCGAACACAAACCTGAAACCCCGCCTTCATCTATAACAACCAGCTGCATCTGGTAGATTTCTTTAAATTCTCGATCCAGTGGATACTGGATGATAACATCGGCCCTGTTTGAGGCATTGTCTGGTTTAGCCACTCCGAACCAGTCACCGACATTTCCCGATGTGATTCGAAACCTGATAATGAAAAAGTAAAGCCCCAGTCAAACAAGGGTGAGAGGTGACGAGAATTGCCGAGAGGTAACGAGAATTGCCGAGAGGTAACGAGAATTGCCGAGAGGTAACGAGTATTGCCGAAAGGTGACGAGATTTGTCAGTCACGCATTGTTCCAGGGGACATTTCAAGCTCCAGATTAACAAAATTAAGGTTTGATTAGTGTTCCAGCTATGTTTTAACTTCAATAGAATACATGATAGTCTTGGGAAAGCATTAAGGCCGTTTTTCACTTCGCCCGTATCGTAACGTACTGGTGAGCATGCGCAGCTTGAAGATGGGTTTTCAAATTTACTTACTTCCGGTTGATTCGCGGATCAAAATAAAAAGTTCGTCGCAAGTCAACTTTTTAGCGCACTATGGAAGTGTTAACCAATCACCATTCACTAAATTTTGAAATTTAAAATTTGTTTTGATACATGTCGGTACGTTACGCTTGAAGTAAAAAACGGCCTTTAAGCTCGAGGGTTTGTCTCAGAGTTCCCGTTTCATCTCTAACCAAAAACAAACCCTCCACCTTATCTGTCCCAACCTCGTTCCCAGGCTCTTACCTCTTGTGGAGGAAATACCCTGGTAGGAGCTGGTCACGTGATCTGCTAAAATCTAGCAGATTTCTAATTAACTATTTTGGATTCCTTTATTAAAATCAAATCAAATCAAACTTGCAAAATAAAATGCAAGTTATAAAGTAAAAATATCAAATATTTATCAACATCATCATGAATTAAAAATCTGCAGATCACGTGACCAGCTCCAATCAGGTCTTTCTTCCACCACAAGAGGTAAGAGCCTGGGAACGAGGCTGTATCTGCCCTCATGGGTGGTATGATGACAGACAAAGGCATCTTAGTAAAACTTTGAGTAGCTTCCTTTGAAATTCTGCACTTAGCTGCAAGGAAGATGATTAGAACACACTACCTTTAATAATTTCATTCTAATAAGCAATTATCATTGCAAAGTGTGTTAATTTAACTGACCTGAACTTGTTACTGTATCCTACATCGTCATCGGTGGCTGCAATCCCGAGATTCAGTTTCGTTCCCACAGGGGTATCTTCTGAGATTGTTGTGTGATAAATCTTGTCAGATTTCGTGAAAGTTGGTCGATTGTCATTTCCTTGCTCGATCGTAATCTTAACCGTGGCTGTGTCTTCAAATGCTTTTTGTAAACCAAGTGCATCAGGAATTAATAACTCATCGTTTCGTTCTTTCAAACCAACAGTAAGTGTGTATACTCTCTTGGCTATCTTCTCAATATCAAGAACGCCAGCAACGACTATTTCACCTGTTTCCTGGTTGATATCAAATGCGTATGGCACATTGCCACTCTTTAAAGAGAAGGCGTAGTTATTTGGTGGTGCAAAGTCACGATCTTTTGTAGTCAGCTGTAACACAACATACCCGGGAGGTCTTGATTCAGAAACAGTTGCTTCGTAGTCGCGCTTTCGGAACCATGCTGGAAATTCACTCACATCGCGGATAACTATTGTAACGTCAGTTTCGCCCCATAACCGTGGGTTACCATCATCCCATGCGCGGATACGAATCGATAAGTTTCGTCGAAATTCTTCAGCGTTTAGTCTGACTCTCGTTTCCAGTCGGCCACTGCTGTCAAAGGTAAACAGTTTACCATCCTTGTCGAATGGATCTTCTCCAGTATTTGTGAGCAGCTCGTATGTCAGTCTCACATTTTTGCCATCATTGATATCAGGATTATCACGATCGATACCATTAATGCATCTGACCAATGTACCAGCAGGCATATTCTCTTTAATATAACCAACATAGGGTTGATCCGGGAATACTGGGGATGCATCATTCACGTCATTAATCTACAAGGATGAACAGTCAATCATATTTCAGGGGGGAGGGAATAGTTTTCTGAGCAGCTAGCTACGTTACTGTGACGTTGCAAAATAGTTTGCTGTGGGAGAGGGGGCAAAGTGGTTTACTGTTGGGCTGAACAGTTTACTGTAAGGTGGGGTGTAAAATGAATTACTTGAGGGGAAGAAAACTATTTTTCTGCAGGGGTAATGTATGTAGCTTGCTGGAAGGGGGGGGGGGGCAGGAGGTAGTGAAGGAGAATTGTTTAGTTTAGTATCAATGCACTAAAAGTGGCTGGCATCAGGGGTGTAAAAAGTAGCGGAACCTGGGAACCTAGTTCCCAGAATTTTTTTTAAGTTGAAAGTTTTGCAGAAAATTTTCCAGAAATTATTTCAACATTTTGAGATAACTCTGTTTACTCAACTTACAAGTTACAACTATTCTACTGTATTTACACTGTACACACTAACATCAGCAGCCTTTTAAATATTTGACAGTTCTAAATTAATTCTTTTACCCACCCTGCCATCACAATGAGGTAAAATGGTAAATATCTGCTCTGCAAATTAAATAGTAAACAAATAAAAGTGATGGAATAAATAAGATGATAGGACACTTAGTTAAGCGTTTAGATCCTTACTAGTTGGTCATAACTCATAACTGTGGTATATAACAGACAACTATTGCGATGTACGAGCATACGAAAACCAGCCTAAAACCTATTATTACTAAAGTACAAATAATACAATAATTAAGCATTTGTATTTTTGTAATTGTAACATTGCAAATTTTACAGAAAATTTCTAGCCTTCGACCCAGGTTCCCAGAAAGAATAAAATTTTTTCCACTCCCGGCTGGCATAATAATTTACTGCAGATTATAATTTGAATCAACTAGTAGTGATATGATAGTTTGACTTACCACAACTCTGACAAAGGTTTGACCAGTAATGTTTGGACTGCGACGTTCATAGGCGTAAACTGGGAATGTAATTACAGGTGTGATCTCCCAGTCCAATGGATCACCAGCAGTTTTGATCATTCCAGTCTCTTCATTTATTTCAAAATATGGTGTTGCCTTCTCATCCAGTCTGTAGCGTATCACAGCTTGAGGATCTTCAGGTTTTCGAACTTTCACTTGTACAACTGGAAGGCCTGGGCCTGCATTTTCAGGCAGATATTTCTCATAGTAAGGTTCTAGGAATTCTGGCTTTGAGTCAGGACGATCTTGGATCTGGGAAAAGTGATATTTGATATATAAAATAGCATTTTCTTATGGCCTAAAGTGATATGGACAGAGAAATTTTTGACACGCTCAACACAGGAAGCTGACCTCTCAACAAGAACGTGGTAGTGAAACACACAACTTCTTGAGGGATACGAGAGCACAGTCCTCAATTAATGCCCCCTAAATAGACATTTCTTGCATTGTGGGCAAAGGTGTTTTTAAATTTAAAAGATTAGAAACATGATGCTACACAAACAATAAAGTATAATGCCAGTCATTTAAAATTGTTATTCAAACATAGGGTGACACAGTTCACGGTAAAAACTGAAAAGCATCTGGAAAAAAATTTATAACTGATGTCAAAATATACCACAGTCGTACACTGCTTTTGTAGATATCTACCTTGCCGTTTTTGTGTCTACCTAATTCTGTTGAACTAATCAAGCGTGTGATTTGCTTATCTGTTTAGCTTCAATGCTTTGCAATTTTCCACAAATAAGTGAAATCACTGCTACTTTGTTTCAATATGACGGAGTTTCAAACAGTTTTTTCTGGTGTTTTGCCTAGTGTTATATTGGCTGAATCAGTTTTCAAAAAACATAGTTTTTTCCAGTTTATCGATTAATTTAACAACCCCACCCAATTCAAAAATGTAATAGTTTCCATGACAAGATAAAGCAAAATAAACTTACCCTCACAGTTACTGTAGCGGTTGCTGTGTGTTTACGATCTGTGGCTGTCACCGTCAAAGTATACACAGGATTGTTTTCAAATTCTGGTGACTTTTTGGCATCCAATGGACGACTAACAATCAGTCGTCCAGTATTTTTCCGATCCTGTCCAACAATAGTTTCCATGGAGAATCGACCATCGTTACCAGAAGTAATAAAATAATATACATCACCATTTTCTAAAATATCTTGGTCTGTAGCATTGAGAACAAGATTAGGTACGATATATGGCACCGGAATGTTCTCTGGGATATCTGCAGCCTTGTAATCTGTCTTTGCGAAGATAGGAGGAGAGTCATTCTCATCACGAACATGAACGATCAGTATAGCTGTACTCTTTAAACTAGGAGAACTTTGTCGATATGCTTCAATAATAATTGTGTAAGTATCTTTCTTTTCTCGATCAAAATCTCCTACTTTAAGTCCAGGTGCAGTCTTGATTTGAGCAAAATTTGTCATCTCCGATACTGTAAATGTTTTAGAATCAAGTCCTGGTTCAATTTTGTAAAGAATTTTGTCACCATTGATTGGGTCAGGGTCGCTTGCTTGGACACGGAAGACATTGACTCCGCCTGCAGCAGCTTCTGAAACAGTCGCTTCATAATTGTCATTCCCAAATATAGGAACAACGTCATCAATATCAATGACATTGATTTGAACAATGATTGAGGTAGATCCTGTTTTGCCCTGTTCATGTACCGTCACAGCAAACAGGTAAGATTTTTTAAATTCAAAATCCAATGGTTTTGTTGTTTTAATTTCACCAGATGTTGAGCCAATGTGGAATGGTAAATTACCCCGATCTCGGATAGTTTGCAATGAGAACACCAAATTAGTTCCAGGAATTGTTAATTTCAACGCAACTACTCCAGGATTCTGATTTTCCCTTACAGTACCCGTATATTTTAGTTGTGCAGCTGGACCTTGAATTGATGAGATCTTCACTCTCACAGTTGTTTGACTCGGAGTACTAATAAGAGAACCAATGACTGGGATCTTGTTGGTAGCTTGTATAACCAGCACTATCTCCTGATCGTTATTAACACTACCCATGCTCGTTTTAACTTTCACTTCACCAGTTGCTTTAACAACTTCTAAGTACTCCTTATCATCTTTTGTACCAAGTTTCTGTGTAAGGATCACATACTCAATGTTTGCATTTACTCCCAGATCTGGATCTACAGCTTCCACTTGAAGCAATGTGTCTCCTATAGCCAATGTCCGCAAAACATTCACTTTAAATGTTTGAACAGTGAACATGGGATGATGATCATTCACATCTTCAACCTTGACGATAAACTGACAATAGCCAACTTGCCTCAACGGTTCACTTCTGCCAGCACCACCATCTGTTGCCTTGGCAACCACAAAGATTTCATCATATTGTTCTCTATCAAGCTCTATAGTTGTACTTACACGACCAGTTTGATTGTTAATCTTAAAGAAATTGTGTTTCTGCACCAGTGCAAGGCTGTATTCAATCAATTTATTCACACCTCTGTCCTCGTCTGTTGCAGTTAAAGTTGTCAAGAGAGTGCCGATAGGCTGTTTTTCTTTGATACTTTGCTGCTTACACTCTCTAAAAACAGGCTGGTGGTCGTTAACATCAAGGACACGAATTTTAACGGTCGCCGGAGGATCTGATCGATGGTTCCCCTTATCAATTGCGGTGATGGTTAATTCATAAATATCAAAGCCTCGAAATCGATTGGTGTTCTTAAGAACTGTTATAACTCCTTGATTTCCGATAGTAAAGTACTCTCTTCCCTCGACTGGATCTGCATTTGTGATACTGTATGTAATATCATCAGGTTTCGTGGCTGGATCTGGATCTAAGGCTTGTGCAACACCAATGACCTGATTTTTTGGTGCATCCTCAAAGATAGCAAAATCATAATTGGGTGTTGGGAAGTTTGGAGGGGTATCATCAACGTCCAAAACAGTTATCTCAACATAAGATGTCCTTGTGCGGCCATTTTTCCCAGGATCTATGACTTGAACGGGAAAGAAGAAGTAATTCCGCTTCTCGTAATCTAAATCTTTAATGTTTCGAATTTGTCCACCACTCGTTATATCAAAGAAGCCTTCCGTATCGCCGATTTTGTAAATCATTTCGCCTGTCTTACATTCACAGTTTTCTTTACAATCACAATCCTCCACATCAACTTTATAAATGTCTCCACCTGCACGAAACGAACCCTCTTCAAACTGAAGCTGCTTGGCTGGCGTCTTAAACATTCCGAGATGATTATCAGCATTTACTAACTTTAAGTTCACAATAGCATCTGTCGAACGACCTTCATAGGCATCCTCGGTTGCACGCACGTTAAATGTAAACATTTTGTCAGAGCTGTTACCCGTATCATAATCAAGCTTACGTAAGAGTGTTATTTGCCCAAGGTGGTTGATTGCAAACGTGTTCTTAACATTAGCTGTAAGTATTTCATATTTAATTGGCATACCTGATCTACTTGTTGCTGCAACTGTCGCCACTACACTACCACAGACACTTGCCTCTGAGAAATTAAGATTATATGGAATGCCAAAGAATTCAGGTTCGAGTTTCCGAACACGGACTAAGAATTCTTGAAAACCGCTTGATTTTGGTGGCATTCCGTAATCGAGTGCCTCGACATTTACTTTGTAGTCCCCACTCGGAAGCTTTTTACCCCCAGCTGTTTTCAATAAATGAGTTTTAGGATCAATCGTAAAATCAGATTGTTTTCCATCATCAGTTTTTATGTTGAAACGTATCCGACCTCTTGGCCCACTGTCGCCATCTTCAGGGTGAATATAAAGTATAGGCGTTCCTGCACGAGCGTTTGTGTTCACTTGTCCAGTGAATAGACCACCTCTGGTTGTATCACGGATAAATTTCGGCACATTGTCATTCCGATCAATGACTTCGATAATCAAATAATGATCAACATAATCTGTTTTTGGGTCAGGTTCCGGCAACGGATCTGGCATTGGTGGTTGTCGTGTTGATGGGTTAGGGTCACTGTAATTATGCTTAAAATCACGAATCGTCATGTTATACAGCCAGATCAGTTCAAAATCCATTTTGGCGGTTGTCTTAATCTCGCCAGTGTTCTGATCAACTGTGAAATTCCGCCACCCCTCGTACGGCCAGACAATCAACTGTTTCCCATGCGGAAACAGCTTACGTACTTTACCAACCACCGTACCAATCTCGATATTAAAAGCTTTAGGGGATCCTGTTGTCGTGGTGTCATCTTGTATATACTCAGGGACATACAGCCGGGTTGCTTCAACTGTACCGATAATATTCAAACTCTCAAATAACCGCCTCTCATACTCTTCTCGTAACTCATCTTGCTTGGTACGTTCAATTTCATCATCTCGGCGAGCCCTCGCCAAGGCTTCGTCATAATCTCGGCGAACCCTCGATTGACTTTCAAGTGAAGATTTCTCGCTATACCTGTTGGCTGCCGATTTCTTTAACATCATGGAAATAAAGCGGCTTGATGTGCTACGTACATGTTCAGATCCTTCAAACGGAATAATATCTAAATTCCCATCAAACGAAACACTTTCGGTTACCACGAGAAGCAAACAAACCACAACCAGATTAAGCGCTATTAGTTTGATGTTGGGTACAACACGGCCTCCCATCTCGCTCCGATAAAACGAAGCTTTATAATAGCGACGTTTTTCGAACAAAAATTGAATGCAAATAGTTTATAAACACTCACCGATAATGAGGAGTTTTATAGCAAATTAAGGTCCTATTTCTTTCTTACCACTTCAGGGTAATACCAAGAACATTCCCTGTATAAAACTACTTCAATTTGTGTAGAATTTAAGCAGAATCTCGCCCGAAAAAGTCAAACTTTTAAGTTGAAATTCTTTTCTAACGACGCTAAATGTTTGTGTAATATGGAATGCATATATTATCTTGCCCCCACCTTCGGCGTTTGACGTAAACCAATCACAACGCAGCATTTGCTTGCGTCGCTCAGCGTGTGAGGCCCAGAAAGCGACTGGAAATCCTTTACACAATGAAATTTTTGTGGGGTGGTGGGAAAATATTGATTGGCTAACTTGTTAAAAATATAAATTTTCTATTCCAGTTCATTTTCAGGTCTAAAAGCATTAAAATACCGTCTTATCTGGCTATCTGCCCAGTGGTTTAGTATTATATGACGTAATTGATTGTAGTTAAATTTTGAAGTGTTTTGAGAGCTTAACAATAAATCTTACAAATTTCAATCTGTATTTTTGTACAAACTCATTCAATCTAGCTCAACAGTAACTTACAGAAGGCACGGTTGCAAAGAATTGTTTTGGGATAGACAGTTATCATGTTATCAATCGTTATCAAATGTCTCTATTTGTAAACTCGCTGTTCAAATATTTGCTTTCAGGAAGCGACAAATATTTTATTTTAATTGCTGCGTGTTACATAATTCTAGCCTCTAAACTGACAATAACGTCTATAAGCATACATTACAAACGTACAAATTGCTCACATAAAACTATTTATTAAATTCAAAAAGTGATTTTAACGTTTAAAATGTTCAAATCAAATAATTTGACAGTCATAACTCTGGGTTTAGATCGAGATATAAATATACCAGTAAGTAACCAACATCACAACATTCCACACTCCACAGACAAACCTAACAACCACTTCCTGTTAGGCAACTATCTGAAGCCTGATTTTAGGGTGTTTTGTAACGATGCAGGTGGAATGAGGATTCGTGAAATTGTGCATGATGGGATAGGATATATCGTCCCAGTTACCTCGAAAATGAAAACACTGATGACTATATCCTACTGTGACACTGACAATTCGCTTGAATTTTACCTGACATTCATGAATCAAACTGCCATTAAGACTCCCTTATGGGAGTCAGAATGAAAGGAGATTTACATGAAAAAAACTGACAGGTGGTTTGAATTTTAGCTGCCAACTGACATCCCAACATCACAGTTAAGACTCTTTCTCGTACCCAGAGCCCTTCTTATGCGCGGTGCGACGAGGGGCTCTGGCAGAGGGCTCTGGCCAAATCCATATCCGAACTGGCATCTGATTGGCTAGTTCTAACACCGGATATTGTTTTCTTATGGCCAGAGCCCCTCGTCGCGCTCGGTCGAACGCGCGTAAGAAGGACTCTGGGTACGAGAATGAGTTAAGACCCGAGCAAAGCGGAAAAGTCGAATACAAGCGCGAAAGGCTGCTGGAAATCGCTAATAAATGAATGAATTTATTAGCGATTCACAGCAGCTTTTCGCGCTCATATTCGACTTTTCCGCTTTGCTCGGGGGACAACCTTAATTGAAATAGCTGTATGTCCCAGGGGTTTCTAGGGAACAAGAGATATTTTCATTATTTTGTAATTGAAACACAGCTACACAGGAACAAAGCCAAAACGAGAATGTGTACAAGGGAACATTGTGAAATCTTTCTGGGGAGAAAAGGAAACATTGGTTCCCTTGATGAAAGCTTTGTCTAAATGTCGGATTTGTCTTGCGTATTTTAAGATGAAAACAACCTGAAATCCGGCTCACTATATGTTTTGGGATTTTTCTACTTAAACCACTTAAACTTGGCCACACGCAGCACTCTCTTAAAAATGCAAGAATCTTTATCTGTCTAGAAACAACAAACTACAAACCACAAACTATGTGTTTAAAAATCATGTAAACATATATTCTCATCTGTCGAACATAATCACTAACCAGATAATATCATTGTGACGTCACGTGGCCGTTATGTTAAAAAGATAAAATATATGCTATATGGCACATATTGTCCGCAGAGAGCTCAACGCGACGTTTGGTACAAGGAAAAGGCAACGACATGAAACTTCGCCTATTTTTTGTATTCCTAGGCCTTTTGACGCCAAAAAATGGTAAGTTGATTCTGAGTAAATATGTTCAAGACATTTCAACCTTAGGCTGTCCAAGATCGGTTTCATTTTCACTTTTACGGCACGGTAAATATACATTAGAAGAAGAGAATGAAATTTTCGTTTACACTTGCAAGTTTCGCTACGATTTCTAGTGCGATTTTCTCCTTCTGACGCATGTGAAAGAGTAGATGAATTATGAATGGTCTGAGTTTATGTAATTTCATCTCAACATTCATAATTCATCCACTCGTTCACATACATCAGAAGAAGAAAATCGCACTTGAAATCGCAGCAAAAGGCTACGTTTACATTGTGCCAGATAGCTTTCCGTAGCGACGTGAAAAACATCTATCTGTACCTTTTAGGAACGCTATTTTCAGAGAAATTATTCCAACGGCGAGATGTTGTTTCGCTCAGCTTCTGAAAGTTGTACATTTCGTATCCGATAGGTGCTTTTTCGCGCCGCTACGGAAAACTATTCGCTATAGAGTATAGTGTATACGTAGGTAGGCAAGTTTGTCTGTTCCTTGCAATATGATGTGACAAGCTTATCAGCAGTATATAATTTTATGCAGAAAAAATGCTCAACAAGCTGCTGATAAGTAAAACCTTAATGGAAGAAAACTTTGATAAAAAATACAAAAAAATGGAGTGGTTTTCGTTAATTAACTATATTGACATGAGATATGTCACGTTGTATGATAAATTACAGCGAATTGTAGCCTACGTACGAGAGGAGGTATCGCAATCTTGACATCAGGCAAAAAACAGGAATGCGGCTGTTGGGGGGGGGGGGGCAAATTCAAGTCCCGGATGTGTACTCATGTTCCTATTGGCACAGACTAAAGACATACAGAAGTGTAACTTCCATTACAAAACCGTAAGGCGCTTTTTTACCGAAATAGCTGGCGGCCATGTTCTTAGCAAGTGCCCTAAAGAGAGGCATTCACCCCCCTGGAATATTAAATTTTCAATATGTTTTCAGGGGGGTGACTGCCTCTCTTTAGGGCACTTGCTAAGAACATGGCGGACTGAAAAAATCCCTTACGCGAAATTAACCTGAAGTGAGATATCTGTATGTACTTCCTCTGTGCCATTGGTGAGGAATTTCAATTTAGCCAATGAGAGCATATGATTTTATCTCTATGGTATAGACCCCAGCAGAAACACGTGGGCCAAGTCAGCCGAGGATTGACTGAAATTCCTGAAAATACAAGCAGACCTAATGGCCGACGAAGAGCCTTTGCTTGAAACGTTGAAGTTCTGCTTGTATTTTTCAGGTAGTTGTGTCTCTACGCATGCAGCTGTCCAGGGGCGTAAGAACCAAGGGGGACAAGGCCCCCAAGTTTTCAGAAAACACAAAAAGTGCCCTTTCTCCGGTGGCAAAGTGCCCTTTGCATTCGTGAAAAATGTTGTTCAGATTGCATTTTGTACGATTGCAGTCCCCCCCCCCCCACGCCAACATTTCCGGAAAATTTTTTCAGGTGCCCTTTTCATTCCATACCGCCCCCCCCAATCTTTTGATGTCCCTACGCCCCTGCAGCTGTCTAAGCGCGTGTCGTTATCGTCGCTGACACACACTGCCGTTATCATAAATACTATCTTTCAGGTCCAAGATAAACTCAGGTAATATAGCACAAAACATAATCCGAAGATTAGCGTCTTGAAACCCAAAATATGAGTCAAACAAGAAAGTGAGTAATATTTCGATTTTATTACAAAATCATCATCAGACTATAAACTATAATTACAATATATACATGGTCTTATATACAAGTTGGCAAGGCATGATGACATCATCAAACGGAAGTCTCAATCAGAACCACGACAGGTGCAGTGAGAAGTGTGATGAAATGTGGGTGTAATCGAGAAACAGATGAGTCGGAATTTCATCCACGTAGTCTGTCCTGATAGTTCATGCTTGACGTCATCACATTGCTTCTTCAAATTGCCAATTTAACATGCGAGTTCTTTTCTTTGATACTAGTATCAGTCAGTAGCAAGTTGTAGTAGCGTCGCCGATTCCTTTGGGTTTCAAGATGCTAATCTTCGGATTATGTTTTGTACTATAAACTCAGGTTCCAAGATACTAATATAAATTTGACTCAAAATCTCGAGTATTTACCCTAAATTTTTCAGGTTCGCAAGATCACTGTCCACTGACTAGTATTTTAAACAAGTTTTTGAAGCCCACATCACAATCTGAGATTCGGTAGTCTACCTATAATTTGCAGCTTTGTTCGAAATAGTTCAGAGTACGGAATAAAACTCTTACTATAATTATTTAAAACTTGAGTGATCTCAGTTTTAGTGAGTGGAGCAGTAGAGAATCCAGCCTATCGGCTTATGGAAGCCTTGTTTGGAAATAATTCCTACAGTTTGACACGAGATGTGATTCCACTGTCCTCTGAGAACTCACTCATCCGTGTGGATTTTGATTTTGATGTTCATCAAATATTAGAACTGGTACGTGTTACAATAATTGTATAATCGCTAATAGTGATTCAAATTTGACAGGAAATAAAATGGCCCCTTACATAACACATATCATAAGAATAGTGGAACCCCTGCATTACGATTCAGTGGTAGGAATGTTTTATTGTCTTTTATTCAAAATCCCACAATTCTCCACGCCAGCCGTTATTATGCCTTTAAAACAAGCTGTCACGATTATGTTTCCAGAATGAAAAGAAACAGGTGATGAAACTGTTGATCTGGTTAAGAATGTACTGGCAAAATACTTTTCTAAAATGGAATCCAGACAGTTATGGTGGTATTAAGAAAATCACAGTGAGCAAGGATAAAGTCTGGGTTCCTGATTTGACACTTTGGAATAGGTATGAGTTGAAATAATCATTGAACTCATCTGTAGTGAAGATGGATCATGCGTCAAGATGACGTGAGAGGCCTCTGTGGGTGGACAAGTGCCCTCTGTGGGTGGACAAGTGCCCCACAGGAATGTGGTTAGCTTCGCTGAATACTAGATTACCACAAACACTTTTTTATTGTGCACCTGATCCTGTTAGACCAAGACTATTTGCAATTCTTGAGACTGGAGTTCAATTGTCAGATAAACTATAGAATTATAGTCACTGTGTCGATGTTTATGAGATATAGATTTTGTCGAAACTGCTGTCAGAATCCCGGAAATAGCGTTTTTAACCCTTAGAAAATAAAACAGTTTCTGTGGTAGCATCCCCCAGACACACAACGCATACAGCTAATTCAATTAAGGTTGTCCCCCGAGCAAAGCGGAAAAGTCGAATACGAGCGCGAAAGGCTGCTGAGAATCGGTAATAAATTAATGAATTTATTAGCGATTCCCAGCAGCCTTTCTCTCTCGTATTCGACTTTTCCGCTTTGCTCGGGGGACAACCTTAATTGAAATAACTGTATACAATTTCTTTGACAGAGCTGCGAACGATGCAAGTATCTACCAGCGTATCGACACGAGGATTGTCATAGAGCATGACGGGAAATGCACATGGTACGCTCCCGTCACAACCAGCAGCACATGCGCAATACGAGTCAAATATTTCCCATTTGACAACCAGACGTGCGCACTCATTTTCGGATCCTGGCGTCATACTACTGATGAGATACTGTTCACTCCTTGTGAAAAAACTTGCGCTGATATGAAATACTACAAATCTAACAGTGAGTGGTCCTTAGATTTCATTTATGGAAAGGTAAAGTATCTAATTATTTACCTTAATTACTTATTTAATTACTAATTATTTACCTTAATTACTTATTTAATTACTAATTATTTACCTTAATTACTTATTTAATACTTAATTATTATTTAGTCGTACTTGTATATAAAAAATGTATGCACGCTGCTTCCGGAAAAACGCCACCTTGGTCTCGTTTTCGTGATTGAGACGTTGGGCAAAGTGACGTACTTTCCCGAAGGGTTGAACATTCTGATCACTGGATCATGACTGGATGGCATGGAGAACAATACATTCTGATCACTGGAACGTGATTGGATGACATGGAGAACAGTGGGATTTTCAAAACAATGAAAAGACAATGGAACATTCTGATCACTGGATCATGAGTGGATGACATGGAGAACAGTGGGATTTTCAAAACAATGAAAAGACAATGGAACATTCTGATCACTGGATCATGAGTGGATGACATGGAGAACAGTGGGATTTTCAAAACAATGAAAAGACAATGGAACATTCTGATCACTGGATCATGAGTGGATGACATGGAGAACAGTGGGATTTTCAAAACAATGAAAAGACAATGGAACATTCTGATCACTGGATCATGAGTGGATGACATGGAGAACAGTGGGATTTTCAAAACAATGAAAAGACAATGGAACATTCTGATCACTGGATCATGAGTGGATGACATGGAGAACAGTGGGATTTTCAAAACAATGAAAAGACAATGGAACATTCTGATCACTGGATCATGAGTGGATGACATGGAGAACAGTGGGTTTTTCAAAACAATGAAAATACAATGGAACATTCTGATCACTGGAACGTGACTGGATGGCATGGAGAACAATGGGTTTTTCAAAACAATGAATCGTACCGTCAAAATTATTATTTTCATGAGCATTATTATTTTTATTAGGAAATTAACCAGACATATGAGACTGGCGAATTCAGCGTTATTAAATGCCGTTTAGAAGTGAGTCGCAAGTCGTTGTTTTATGTCATGAACATGGTTGTTCCCTGTACGATCATAGCGTTACTCTGTTGCCTGACATTCTACCTCCCTGCAAACAACGGGGAACGTGCGTCTCTAGTTATCACCGTGTTGTTGGCAATGACGGTGTATATGTTAATCGTCGCGGATTCTATGCCTCCGACCCCTGAAGCAATGCCATTGGTTCAGAAGTTCTATCTTGTCACAATTATCGAAACAGCGTTCTGTTTGTTTGCTACTTGTATTGTCGTGAAATGGCATGAAAATACTGCACCGATGCCCCAGTGGGTTTATTCAGTCTTTAACTGTTTCTTAAGGAAAGTCCTTCATGTCAAATATACTGAAAATAGAGCTCAATTCTCAGCTAACGCTCAATTCTCAGCTAACACTAACAAGGACATTGAATTTCCTGCTTTTAACCACGCTTCTCCTACTAATAACCCAATACGTCGTAAGGAAAGTAGAACTCGATGTAACAGCAGAAAAATCTCTGATACAAGTGAAGTATTTCCACTCCGACACTATTCTTTTGCGATCCCGGAAACGGCTCCCGACGTCACCGAAGACACGCCGAAGGCATCCGATTCTCCCGAGACTGCGCAAGTACCAAGAGATTGGAAACTAGCCGCTAGAGTCCTCAATAAAGTGTTTCTGATAATGTTTTCAGTGACATTTGTGCTGAGCATTGCTGTTATCTTTGCTGGAGTCAAGTCATGGTTTCAGTAGTGACGTAGAGCGGTACCGCACAAAAACATTGCGCGCGCTCGAGATTAGTTGCGCCAGTGAACTCTATCTATATCTCGACTTACGTCCAAAAAGTGAAGCAAAACATGGCGGAAATAGACCATATTCCTAATGACGTCACAAGGCTTGATGCTCGCGAGGAATGATGGTCTTAGTAGTCATCGCCCGGGAAAATTTCGATAGTGGCCATTTTTAATTGTTTAATTTAATTGATATCTATGGTTGAGAGACGTGTCCAGTGAGCTATATATATATATATATATATATAGAATACGCTGGAATATTCTTGGCTTCAATTTTACTAAAAGAGATGCGCTATCTAGTGTATATAAGATATCTATGCTCTCAACTTTTTATTCATTGGTAATACAACACACCCTTTCGATAATTACGTCACACATACTTTTTGGTCTTGGAGCCTCGCTCTCATTAGTAAATTACGCAAGGTGATTGGCTCACGATTCATGAGAGCGAGGCTCCCAGGCAAAATGACGTAATTATCGGAAGGGTGTATTACTTTGAATATTAATACGACAGTGAAAACAATTTGAAAGTATATTCATTGCTTAAAATTACAGTATCTCTTTATCAAAATTTAAAAGAAACTATCTTACACATATTAAATGTAGATTTTGTAGATACAAATTTCCAGTGTGAATTTGAATTGAATAATCTTTTCCCAGGAGACAACCTCACCCAGAGGTGATTTTCAGGAAAGTCCTGGGAATTATATTTTAAAACCTATACATATATCAAACCCACACATATATTAAACCATTATCCGTTGCATTTCTTCGACAGACATTCGAGCAATGAACACTATCCTATATTAATATTAATTCCAATCTCCTAACTATGTTTCCCTAAAAGTATGTTTGCACACTGCGACTTCTCAGCTTGATTTTAGATGAACTTATTTGAAATGTACGTGTTTGAAATGGACGTATTTGAAATATACGTGTTTGAAATGGACGTGTTTGAAATATACGTGTTTGAAATGGACGTGTTTGCAATGTACGTGTTGTTTTAGATGTGAACAACATGAACAAAAATTTTCATCGTTAACATTCGAGAAGAGCTGAAATCGAGTTGACAAATTCCAGTGTGTCAACGTGGCTTAAAATGTACCGTTGTACAGAAAATCTTTAACGAAATCAATAAATGCTTCATTTCTGAGTATACCATTGTGCTCACATGAGTCGAAGTCCTTGATAACCAGCGGTTTCTCCTGTTGCCATCGCGTACAACCTTTTAAACTGATTGAGGAGACTGTGCCATCTCCGTCAGACATTACTCTGTCTGGCGGTCCATCTGGGAAGGTCCCTGGCTTATATCTATACGTCACTGGGGTATCTACACCTGAACCATGCAGGCATAAAACGGGCACGTTGGGTGCAGAACTGTTGAATATTGGTGGTACAGTTTTTTTCATTTCTATTGCAATGGGGTACTTGATGTCTTGAAAGAAAGCATCATAGTCGTTGATTGTGTAGTTTCTCGTTGCTGACTGCACAAATGCCTAAATAAAGAAAAGTGTTTGTTAATGAACATGAAACTATGCATGCCTTTTGCGCATTTAGAGCGTTGACATGACTTATACTACAGAGGAAATAAAGGCTACATTTATACCATAGCAGATAGCTTTCTGACGAGTTTCCGTAGCGGGGCGAAAAAGCACCTGTCCCATACAGAATGTACAACTTTCAGAAGCTGAGCGAAATAACATCTCTCCGTTGCAATAATTCCAATGAAAATAGCATTCCTAAAAGGTACGGATAGGTGTTTTTCCACATCGCTACGGAAAACTACCCAGTACAGTATAAACATAGCCATAGGCTTGCGAGATTTTTCATCTGAAAATGATGTGTACATTGATGGGTGTTGCACTCTAGTGGAAATTCAATCATCTTAATCTATCTCAACATAATTAAATTCATAAACAACATAATTAAATTCATAAACAACATAATTAAATTCATAAACAACATAATTAAATTCATAAACAACATAATTAAATTCATAAACAACATAATTAAATTCATAAACAACATAATTAAATTCATAAACAACATAATTAAATTCATAAACAACATAATGAAATTCATAAACAACATAATGAAATTCATAAACAACATAATTAAATTCATAAACAACATAATTAAATTCATAAACAACATAATTAAATTCATAAACAACATAATTAAATTCATAAACAACATAATTAAATTCATAAACAACATAATTAAATTCATAAACAACATAATTAAATTCATAAACAACATAATTAAATTCATAAACAACATAATTAAATTGATAAACAACATAATTAAATTGATAAACAACATAATTAAATTGATAAACAACATAATTAAATTCATAAACAACATAATTAAATTCATAAACAACATAATTAAATTCATAAACAACATAATTAAATTCATAAACAACATAATTAAATTCATAAACAACATAATTAAATTGATAAACAACATAATTAAATTGATAAACAACATAATTAAATTGATAAACAACATAATTAAATTGATAAACAACATAATTAAATTCATAAACAACATAATTAAATTCATAAACAACATAATTAAATTCATAAACAACATAATTAAATTCATAAACAACATAATTAAATTCATAAACAACATAATTAAATTCATAAACAACATAATTAAATTCATAAACAACATAATGAAATTCATAAACAACATAATGAAATTCATAAACAACATAATGAAATTCATAAACAACATAATTAAATTCATAAACAACATAATTAAATTCATAAACAACATAATTAAATTCATAAACAACATAATTAAATTCATAAACAACATAATTAAATTGATAAACAACATAATTAAATTGATAAACAACATAATTAAATTGATAAACAACATAATTAAATTGATAAACAACATAATTAAATTCATAAACAACATAATTAAATTCATAAACAACATAATTAAATTCATAAACAACATAATTAAATTCATAAACAACATAATTAAATTGATAAACAACATAATTAAATTGATAAACAACATAATTAAATTCATAAACAACATAATTAAATTCATAAACAACATAATTAAATTCATAAACAACATAATTAAATTCATAAACAACATAATTAAATTCATAAACAACATAATTAAATTCATAAACAACATAATTAAATTCATAAACAACATAATTAAATTCATAAACAACATAATTAAATTCATAAACAACATAATTAAATTCATAAACAACATAATTAAATTCATAAACAACATAATTAAATTGATAAACAACATAATTAAATTGATAAACAACATAATTAAATTGATAAACAACATAATTAAATTGATAAACAACATAATTAAATTCATAAACAACATAATTAAATTCATAAACAACATAATTAAATTCATAAACAACATAATTAAATTCATAAACAACATAATTAAATTCATAAACAACATAATTAAATTCATAAACAACATAATTAAATTCATAAACAACATAATTAAATTGATAAACAACATAATTAAATTGATAAACAACATAATTAAATTGATAAACAACATAATTAAATTGATAAACAACATAATTAAATTGATAAACAACATAATTAAATTCATAAACAACATAATTAAATTCATAAACAACATAATTAAATTCATAAACAACATAATTAAATTCATAAACAACATAATTAAATTCATAAACAACATAATTAAATTCATAAACAACATAATTAAATTCATAAACAACATAATTAAATTCATAAACAACATAATTAAATTCATAAACAACATAATTAAATTCATAAACAACATAATTAAATTCATAAACAACATAATTAAATTGATAAACAACATAATTAAATTGATAAACAACATAATTAAATTGATAAACAACATAATTAAATTGATAAACAACATAATTAAATTCATAAACAACATAATTAAATTCATAAACAACATAATTAAATTCATAAACAACATAATTAAATTCATAAACAACATAATTAAATTCATAAACAACATAATTAAATTGATAAACAACATAATTAAATTGATAAACAACATAATTAAATTCATAAACAACATAATTAAATTCATAAACAACATAATTAAATTCATAAACAACATAATTAAATTCATAAACAAGGATGTGTACATTGATGGGTGTTACTCTCTAGTGGAAATTCAATCATCTTAATCTATCTCAACATAATTAAAAGTTGCACTTAGCATGATAAAGCACCATAATTAATCAAATTAGTATAATTAATCAAATTAAAAACAATAATTTGCTTACATGATCAGCGTTCCAAAAATCTTTACTTGGTAAAAGATAGATGCTGCTCTTGACTGATCTTTGAAAAGCTCGCAATTTCAATGGGTTGACAAGAACTCTTGGTATTCCCAGCGTATAACCTGATGCATACAACCCTACGGTTTTCACCGAGCCTCCCCATGGCGCAGAAATAGTGAGCCAGACTCTTAAATACTTGTCCAACCAGTTCTGTGTTTGCTTGTGTAAAAAGATTGATGAATATGGACATCCCAGACTGTGACATACCAGAACAACAGGCATGTTCTCATTCATTGCAAATGTTTCTTCAATAAGAGCTTTTAGTTTGCTAAAATATTCCCCAGTTAAATCTGAAATAGCATTGCAGTTATTCATTAGAAAAAATAGGTTCACATGCGTACAGCAATTTTCGTACATTGTCCAGCATTATCTGACAAATAAACCTTCACAATTCTTTGCTCAGTTTGCTGTGTAGTAGAACGCTGCAATTTTAGTCTTGACTAGAGAAACAACAGAACTTACTGCATGGGAAAGATATAAAAAAACAAGTTAATTATTCCAAGTAAACTCACCAGGTGTATTTCTAAAGTCATAAGGTGCAGCTCGGATACTTTTGCCTCGAACATAACCAGTGTCAACCAATCCTTGGACAAATGCTCCAAAGTACTCACCAACATCTTTTGTTGAAGGATCAAGATACTCAATACCTGTCGTATTTCCAAAATACGGCACTCGACTTTGTACTCCGGGAGAATTTGAAAATGTTCCATTTGTATCATTGAAAACTAATCTATAATAAATGAGAAAATAATTGTAATAACAATAAGCTCTGTAGGGTTAACCTGTCATTTCTGACTAAGTTTGCTGTTGAAAATAAGCTTGTGGATAGCATGAAATGAACTGTTACTCAGCACAGGGGGGAGTTGCTTTCATATAAGCAAATTTTTGGATCAATAATACATCATGCAGTTGTGTTGTGATGGATTTCATGATAATTATGAACAATTATGTTACCTGTAATTAAACCAATCATAAATTATGCTGTATTTACATTCAATGGCAGACATATTGGAGGAAGGGCAAAATATTAGGGGGGGGGGGGGCTAGTTAGGTTGACAACATACAACCACCTTTTTAAGCTTGAAATCTTAGTTCTTATAACTTTGTTGCCTTAAATTTCATTTGATAAATAGCTTAATTTATAGGCTAGCAATACTTAATTCATGGTTGAAAAGTTGTTCAGTTATTCAGCTATCATTCCAAGACTTTATTGGGAAAGGGCAGTTGCCCCCCCCCCCCCAGGGTCAACTACTTTTCCATTTCTTCCTATATATAGCAGGCCTTTGCTAGAGAGATGTTGAAATTTTAGTTTTCAGGAAGTTGCATGGCAAGGTCAACGTTGCATCATCAATGCAAGTTCATAGGTCAACATACCGCATATTATCAGTAAAACAATCAATGATGCGAGGAAGAAGTTCCTCCACGGACACCCAGCTTGTAAACCAATCAGATACCTTCTCACACCAAAAGTGCACATGTTCAGGTTTGTTTAACTTTAATTGAATCTGACTACCACCATCACCAATCACTACATCAAAGTTCAATAGAATGTATCAATTAAAGGGGCAATGTCACCGACTTTTGAGCAATTCTAACCCTCGCAAATTTTGCCCAAAACTGAAAAAGAATGAGTGTAAGCGCAAAATAAAGCAATGACAGACACAAAAAGAAGTCTGGATGGGCAAGATTATGCCAGGATTGAGATGGATTATAAATGACATCTTGACTGTTGGCAGACACTTTTTCAAGTTTTAGTCAATTTTTATGAAAATGTCATGTACATGTTGCGTGGAAGTTCATAGTTGTTTAATACGACTCATATATCATAACTTAATCTGTTTACGATGTTCATTTTTAACTTTGTACTTTAGTTTTTGAATAAAAGGCATTTTAGGTCAAAAATCGGTGACATTGCCCCTTTAAGCTTGAGTTGTTGACCATTAATTTGTTACATTACTGTCTTCCCATACATCTTGTCAACCCATTAAGCCAGTCTAATGGCAAATAATGCACTCTTCTTTATTATTTTTCTCTGTCTAATGCCAGATGATTTTTACTTATCAAAGGGAAACAGAACCAACACCTAGCTCACTGGCAAAGTGGAAGTTGTTCTTAACTCAATTGAATAGATTTGTACTAAAAGCAAAAGAAAAATATGCCCTTAGGCCAAAAAAAAAAATACTTGGTTAGCGTCACACTCTCACAAATTTTCAGAGGCGGGCGGGCGGATTTTTTTTAAAATTTTTACTCGTTTTTTAATTTTTTAATAGTATTTTTGGAGGGGATGGGGGGGCGGTTTTTCCACCATATCGGTGATATTTTTTGTACTGATGTTGCGAAGGCCGCCATTTTGCTTTAAGAACCTTGTATACCCAAGCCTACGCCACAGAATAAGGTACACAGAAGGCCGACTTCTTCGTTTTTCCTATGATTTTCGTATGATTTTGGCGTAACTCGTGATTCGTCATCAAATGCTGACGCCATGGTCCTAGCCAGTGCGCGTCTGAGAGGCATTCACCCCCCTGATATCATTCAAAATGGCGGATGTCCAGGGGGGGAATGCCTCTCAAACCCGCACTGGCTAGGACCATGGCGTCAGCATTTTGATGATGAATCATGGCGTGGCAGCGTTACTTGAGTCGACCTTCTGTGTACCTTATTCTGTGCCTACGCGCTCCTATCGATCAGTATATAGCGCGAAGGTCTGAGCATGAGAAAAATTTCAAATATTAAATTGTTTTACAGTCAATTTCAGCTGACTTTTCATCGTAAGATTCCGAACTTCGCAAATTCGTTGCCAAGTTCAAAAGTTCATAATGAAATTCACAGACAGGTTTGTAAACTGGGCATTTGATTGGCTGGTTTGATTTAATAGCCAATCAGAGGCTTTGTTTACAAACCTGTTTGTGAATTTCATTATGAACTTTTGAACTTCGCAACGAATTTGTGAAGTTCGGAACGAAGTTCGGAATCTTACGATGAAAAGTCAGCTGAAATTGACTGTAAGCTGTAAAACGAAGAGATTTACATAAAAAAAAATTTAAAAAATTCAGAGGCGGCAGAAAATCGAGAGGCGGGCGGTGACTCTAACAAAGTATTTTTTTTATTTGGCCTTATTGACATTCAACTTAACTTGTCATGTAAAACAGGACCATACAGATTTTGTTAAACATATATCAAATCACATGATAGGCATGCGACTTTTATTATATTTAATCAAATTATTTTTACAGTAATAAACAAATAATTCAAAACGCTCACCTATAACTAAGGGGTTTCTTGGCGTCTCCTTGCATAAAACCCCGTAAAAATACAGAAAAATAAGAAATTTTGCAGATAAAAATGCCATTCTAAAAATCGAACCGAAAATATAAAATTTTTAAAAAGTTGAAATATAATCGTAGCCTGAACACAGCCCTACTTTTCGCCCACCCCGTGATTTTTGGGGGGGAATGATATGGCACGCCAAGTGTAGCAATATTCAGTAAACTAATATTTTGTTTAATTCAACAAAAATTCAATGTTCAACGACAACAATTCAACATAATTATTCAACATTCAACTAAACCATTCAACATTCAACTAAACCATTCAACATTCAACTAAACCATTCAACATTCAACTAAACCATTCAACATTCAACTAAACCATTCAACATTCAACTAAGTCATTCAACATTCAACTAAACCATTCAACATTCAACTAAGTCATTCAACATTCAACTAAACCATTCAACATTCAACTAAACCATTCAACATTCAACTAAACCATTCAACATTCAACTAAACCATTCAACATTCAACTAAGTCATTCAACATTCAACTAAGTCATTCAACATTCAACTAAGTCATTCAACATTCAACTAAACCATTCAACATTCAACTAAACCATTCAACATTCAACTAAACCATTCAACAAACCATTCAACAACTCATCCCCAGACCTCCCAAAAAACAACACGTTGCATGCCAAGTAAAATATGGCGAATATATGGCTGTTTTAACAGAAGAGAGCTTGGACATAAATCAAGATGTAGAAGAAGGGATAAACGAGTTCAACGTCGAGGAAGAATTACCCTCGTTTTTCCTAACAGTGCTTGATAGAGCGGAATACCTTATCTGCAATGACAGCAGAAATGTAAGTGGAATACAAACCCTTCTTGTTGTTCTTGATCAAACTATAAGTTTGTTAAGATTAATACTCGCGGAGGTTGACGAAGATGATCAACAACAATGGGAGTTGCTCGCCGGCTGCTTTGAAACTATCGCACAAAATTTGCAGCAACACACTCTCGAACTGTCGTTGAGGCCAACAAACGTAACTTTACTCAGATGTGATATTAGTCAAACAGGAAGACCTGGTAGACCCTCATTCCTAATTCAACCAGAAATGTTAGAAGATCTCTTGGAGCTAGGCTTCTCAAAACAAAGAATTGCCAGATTGTTAGGCGTCTCTAGGTGGACTATTCACAGAAGGGTTCTGGAATACGGACTATATCATGTGAGTGCATTCAGTGATTTATCTGACACAGAAATAGATGAGAAAATTAGAGATTATATTAATCGCCATGGAAGAACCACTGGACAGGTTTTTTTATTGGGATATCTCCGTTCCATTGGAATTCATGTGCCAAGGAGACGAATCCGTGCAAGTATAACAAGAGTTGACCCAGCTAATGTTGCGTTAAGGTGGGGTGCTGCTGTTTACCGTAGACACTATCAGGTGCCATGGGCCAATTCCCTGTGGCATTTAGATGGACATCACTCGCTAATAAGGTGGAGCCTGGTCGTACATGGATGTATTGATGGCTTTTCGAGAAGAATAATTTTTCTCCATTCCAGTGCAAATAATCTAGCAAGTACTGTACTCAATTTGTTTCTTAGTGCTATTGAAAGGGATGGGGGAGTTTGGCCTTCGCGTATTCGAGTAGATCATGGTGTGGAGAATGTTCTGGTTTGTGAAGCAATGGTGGAAAATAGGGGAGAAGGTCGGGGAAGTTTCATAGCCGGGCCATCAACACATAACCAGAGAATCGAGCGGCTTTGGCGGGATGTGTTTCGCTGTGTCTGCCACTATTATTATTATATATTTTATGCCATGGAAGATTCGGGAATTCTTGACACCAGCAATTCTCTTCACATGTTTGCCTTACATCTGGTATTTCTCCCAAGAATCAATCTAGCTCTTCATGAATACCTAGAAGCATTTAATCATCATAAAATACGCACTGCACGGAATTGGTCACCTTATCAAATGTGGGTAAATAACATGATGAATCCAGATAACCCTTTATCAAGTGGGCAACATGACAACGTACCAGAGAATGTGGAATTTTATGGGTATGATCCCCATGGACCATCCCCATTTGAGGACAGTAACAACAATGTTGTTGTACAACCAGTAAACATTGCAAATGGGAATGAGATTCAAGCACAGATTTTGCAAGTTATAGATCCATTGATGCCCTCTGTGCAAATGGGTATTGATATTTATGAAGAGGTTTTAAGTCTGTTAGTTAATTATGCACACACAGAGCAGTAAAACCAGAAAACAGAACTGTGTACAAATTGCTTATCGGTAATTATAAGTTGTTATTTTGAAATTGTATTTTTAAGCGAAACATTTGGATAGTCCATCCTATTGTAAAATATGGTTTACATGTATTGTTCCAAAAAGGTGATGGATAATTAGATTGGGAAAATTGTTAAATCACATTACAGTATTACACTCTGACATAGGATTAGGGGTCCCCTTGAAACTTGGTTCCACAATTAAATTCTCTACAGTTTAACACCTTTTCACACTTTGTTTTATTGCACCACCTGTGCTATTTAGATATCACTGGTTTGACTACATTTACTCCGTTTGCTTTAAATTTAACTAGCTGAGAAATGTAAACCAAATACATACGTTTGAGGCAGCTGTTTTAATAATCCTTTCTTTTGAACCCAACATAAAGCAATTATCAAATTTTTCAAACTCTTTAACGCATTTAGTGGCAGCACTCTCCCTCTGACGACTCAATGTGCTAACCAGTTGGCTTTAATTGGGAAACATTGATTTACCTAGACAATGGTTATCTGGAAATTTATTAACCCTTTAAGTGGCAAGTCGCCCAGATGCGCTCCATTTTATTTTACTCTAACGCCAGACAATTTTACTTGTCAGGGAGAGAGTGCTGCCACTCAATGGGTTAATGATGTAATAGGTAAATCGAATCTCGCTAACCCTGCTCACCGAATAATAAAACTTCAATAGATTGATGTATAATTCTTCAATAATTATTTAAAACGGTAACAGATAGTCTCAAATTTAGCGACATACAAAAGTATGAAATATGGCTAACAACGTTCTCTCTGATCACATAAAAACAAACTAACTGCGCAAGCGCAAACTAATGTCAAAACGTCCTAACCCCCCTTCCCTAAGTCAACAATGTAATATATGAAAATCCAATTCAATAGGCCATAGCCTTATGTCTGCGAAAGCAGCTTATTTGAAGGAACCAGTGAACTGCACGAGTTCACTGGAAGTATTAACTAATTTGACAATATGCCTGACTTTCAATTTTGTTGTAATGCCATGTCAACCATGCAAAATCACAAACAGCCCAAGTTTTATTATGAAACAACTCAATAACAGGATACAAGAAGATGTATAACACATCAAACATAACAGTTCTCACAGATATCCTTTCTTAGTCTGATAGCAATGTCCTTGCAATAATTACTGGTTCTGCTTTAGACTACAATAAAATAACATTACTGTAAAAACAATGAAACAACAAATGTTTTGTTATGCACAATTCCAAATCAGAAATTAGTATGTTTTAATGTAAATAAATATATCTTAATACTGTACTAACAACCAGAGTTTGGTCCTGCATTCCTGTGCACCAATGTTCTTTATCACTAGTGTCAAAGTTAATGTTTCCCAAAGTATGCGTTGCAAAATGCCATGTCATATACTTCGAAGAGTTTTTCCTCAGTAGGTAGTGGTATTTGATTTGATGGACATGGTAAGTGAAGCACGTTGGCACATGTATTGGAGGTTGGAATAAACGACCAGGCACCTGATGATGTGGAAGATGGAAAGACGATACTTGGTTTTGTACAGAAGCCAAGAAGTGGTTCTTGGTCTGTTCCTGAGACAAACTGTAATATATGCTCAAGTGTCACGTTCCCTCTTTTTCCACCAGCTGCCTTTCGTGTATATGTGGAAAATGCTGCATAGGCTACGTTTTCAAAGGATCGTGCATTACATCCATCTTCTGAAAACATGGGTGTAAGCATGTGCATTAACTTTCTTCTTGTTAAGGCAGTAGTACTTGAGGGTCGAAAGAGATGTAGAAGTATTGGCAAATTCTTTACGATCTCACGCAAGCCCAGCTTGTTGAACCCTTCGCGGAGATTAGCCACACACTTGGATTGTGGGACATCACGGATGAATATTTCCTGTAATAATTCTTCTGGAAACCTGGGTATATTGCCATTTTGCAAAATGCTTAGTGCCATTATGAGACCCACAGTTTTGTAATCTTCAGAGATGTGTTCCCTCAGTCCATTGTTAAAGTACTTCTCCATTATTTGCTGAAGGCATAACCGAAAGAATTCTCTTCTTGGCCCCCCTGCGTCTTGAGCATTTTCTCCGTAAAAAGAGACTTCAAGTGTTAACTGAGGATTTTCAATGCTGCCTATTTCTTCTAAAGCAGTTGCAAGGACATCATGACGGTTTATGAGGATGAAGTTTGACTCACCGTCCAGAGTTTCCTCATCACCTGTATACCCATTTAGTGGTTTTCCTGTCACAATACAGTTTTGTGCATATCGAAGGATCTCAACTGGGTCATCGATGTTGTGTTCTTTGCAGTAGGTAACACAGTCAGCAGCAACATCAAAAATTGTAGTTTTTCTGTTAAGAGGTGGTATAGATGATGATGCATCTACATATTGTGGTGGTATCATGACAGGGTTTCGTGGAGAGCTGCCAGAAGGCAATGATGCTGTGTTAGTTGGCAGGATTGACGACTGTTGCTGCAACACTTGATGAGTGTTGATAGAGCTAACTCTGATAGAGGACGCTGTTGCAGATGGGCCTTCAGTTATTGCTTGTGTGGACTCTTCTTTGGGCTGGGAGTTTTCTTAAAGAAACAATTGAAACAACATTAACATACAATCAACAATGTTAATGTTAATGTTAATTAAGCAGTGGCATTACAGTATTAGATTTATTCAAGGCCTGTGATACAGTTTCTCTAAAAGTGGTGAACACAAGTTTCAGATCCGAAAACAGTTGCACATAATGGTATTTTAATGGAATGAACAAGTATGTAATCATGGTTGTTCACTCCCCCCAGTCGTCAGAGGAGAAAACTAAAATATTGGAGTGAAACTGATTAAAAGACTTCAAGACAAATAATAATAGCTGAAAATTGGGGAAACTTAGGAAAACTTTACGCAAAAACTAAACAAGTAACGGTACAGTACAGTACGTCAACCAACAAGATAATGAAAATATAATGTCCCAAAAAAATTTTTATGATTAGGTCCCATCCCCCTTCGCCAAGAATGTGTGGAACAAAATTATTAATTAGGGAAAAATAATGAGAAAGTGGAAATGACTCAGCAAGATTTTAAGAAGACAACTTCTTCATCGTTGATAAAATATATTCATTGTAAGGAAAGATAAAGGAAAGGGCAAAATGTTAGTGACTGTGGCAGAACTGTGTCTTCTGGTATCTTTTATAGATAGAAATATCCACAAATATTACTGTATTCATATACTAGGATTCTGATTACAGTATATATGTATTTTGATCACATTAATTGAAAATTCCGGGGTTGGCAAAAAAATGAATAAATGTTATTGTATTGTATTATTGTATTCTAAACAGGTGTCATATCGGTGGAAAGATTTATTAAAGATAAAAAGTAATTTTGATAACTCCCATTTATATACTATAATCTATAAATGGTTCATTCTTTTCAAAATGTATTTTCCATTAAAAACAAAATGAGTCATTTTGTTTTTCCTACCAGAGAACCAAAATAGTTCCCCAAGCTCCCAAGCACACATATAGCTAATTGCATTAACATGTATATGCACTGCATAACATATTTTTCAATTTCCAAATATATAATCAAATATATTTGTATAATATGTCAAATATATTTGTGCAGGGCCTTAACCAATCTCATACCCATAGCAATGCCTGTGCGTGGGCTAGAATGGCATTGACTCTGGGGAAATTGTCAACCAGAACCCCTAAATTTAGGGGTTCCGGTTCTTTGTCGGCATGCACGATTGATAAACATTAAACCAATCACAGCACATGAAAAATTCAATTTACCCAGAGCCAATGCCATCCTAGCCCACGGGGGGGGGGGGTGTTGGAGGATTTTACCAGAAATTTGACTTTAATGTTACTTAAAAATTTACCTGAAGTGTAACAATTATAATAGAGCTTTTTCTGATTGATTTCCACTTTCATACTAAGTTTGGGAAGAAGGGGCCGAGGGGGGGGGGGGCTAGGGATCCTCTCCCAGAAAATTTTTACATTTTTGAAGCTCCAGGACTGCATTTCTGGCGTTTTCTTAACGCAAACTCGCAAACAAATTATAACTAAATTGACTGCATTTTACAAAATTGGTTATCAATACATGTAAAGACTTTATTATGCAAATATTACCTTAAAATTTGTCAAAATTGAGTGTCACAGTTGGGGCTGTTTTACCCCGCCCACCGGTTGCTACATTCCTGCACTCAGCCATGAAGGAAGGTTGGTTTGGACATTCTAGTGACTGTAATCCAAGGCTGTAGCGAACGAGGGTGGGGGTGGGGGGGGGAGGTCGTAAAAACAATTTTGGCCAAAAAAATTTTCAGGTAAAATTTGAAATTTTGATACTTTCAGGTAGATTTAACCAAACACCACCCCTGAAGTGAGTTCCTCACGACAGCACTGCTGTAATCTTGTCTTTTATACAGGGTGTAAAAAAAGCTGAACAGATATGAATTTGCTCTCAATTTTGCAAAACAGCTATTAGTATCCAGTTTTTTAAATTTATGTACTATATAGCTTCCTTGGGTACTTATAATGTGGAGTAATGAAAAAAATTCTCAAACTCAAATTTTGTGCTCCAGGGGGGGTCTGTCTTTTCCAACAAAACTAAAAATGGCTTGTGCATGAAATTTAAAAGATTGAATCATATTTTGAGTTATGCAAATAGCTGATTTTTAGGAAAAAATGTAAGTTTGCCTGAATAGTTAGAGGACTTGAACTAAAGCAATTTTGTGCAGTAATTAACAAATTTTTCATCCATTAAAGATGTGGTACAGTGCATATGTAAACAAAGGCTTTGTTTACATTTCGGTATCCAAAATATTGAATTTTATTCGACAACTATTTATATTTTCATGATTCTAGAGTATAATAAATTATAACAATCAAGCTTTGCAAGAACATAAAATGAAATAAAAACCTAAATAAACTGTTTGTAAATAAAAAGAGGGCTCCTTTGTGCACATGCGCAGATCGAACTATGCCGCATCTTTAACTCAAAATATGATTAAAGCTTTTAAATTTCATGCACAAACCATTTTTAGTCTGTTGGAAAAGACACCCCTCCAGTGGTTCACAAAATTTGAGTTCAAGAATTTGTTTTTATTATTCTACCTTATAAGTACCCAAAGAACCTACATGTATATATACATCAAAAACTGTATACTAATAGCTGTTTTGCAAAATTGAGAGCAATTTCAAATCTGTTCAGTTTTTTTATACACCCTGTGGACATGCAACCTTGTCACGGTCCTTCCTCTTGGGGAGAAAAAAGTCCCTGGTAGACTTGAGTGGTATGTGATTATGTAAATACCACAACTCTGTCACTAACATATCTAGCTAGTAGCCTTCAAGGCAACTCAAATCTATATGGTCTGGTATATGCTATCCACTTGGAAATTTTTAAAATGTAAGGTATTTACAACGAATTGCTTAACTCTCTCTGGGCAAGAAAACCACCAGACCCCCATACTTACTATTACATTTAAGACACTACACCAAACTTTGTATCACCAACAACTATCTGTCATCTCATTTAGTGTAGCATTTGGGCCATTCCATTTAATATCCACATCTCTAAGAAAAATCACAGAGATCAAAGGATGCCGACAGGCTTATAACCCTTCAGAAAAATTTGTCAAAATAGGGGGGGGGGGGCATTAAATGGAATGGCCCTTTGTAGATGCCCCACTGACCTGTCCAAAAATGCAATAAGACGTTTAAAAAATCTTTGCATATTACCTTCCTTCTCAAAATCAAATGCACCATCTCCAGGTGCGTCTTCGACAAACAAACACTCCAAACCATCTTTCATCTTTAAGTAGATGCACCCTTGGCCAGCAAGTAACTTGACCTGGTTGTAATTGTATTCATTACAACTTACTGGCTTCGTAATTCTCCGTCGATTGGCCCTCACAAATTCGAAGTCATTTTTAGATACCATTGGAAATTTAAGTTGAATAGCTTTACCAAGTTCCGTTCGTATGTCCACTTCGCTTGCTGTCGTTGGTATTTCAATGAACCCACGTATAGCAACCATACTTTCCGAAAACAGCATTGTATCTTTGTCATCATTTCCGTCACAATCTTCAGTGCTAAGTAAAACGAACTCAAAAACTTTCTTTTCCAGACGAGGCTTTTTCGTCGTTGTACTGGTGGACGGTTTAGAACTCGTCGCTCTAAGCCGTTCTCTTCTATTTAACCGCGAGCACAAACCCCTCGAGGATGATTGTCCGATCATTAATCGAGCACGATCTACTGCTGAGTTGATGGTCGCTCTCACAGATGGCACATTTACGGCAGCTTCTCTAGGTCTTTCTGCTCGTGGAACCGGTTGTGCAGATGCGATCCCAGGCTGGTGCCGCTGAGTATCAGTGTCCAACATAGTATTAATTAAATTACTAGCATCATTTAGACATTTAGAAAGCTGTTGAAGATTTGACTTATCATCCATGATTGCAACTAACCGCGAGGTCCAAAAACTTTCGCGGGAAGTATGGAAGTACTTCGTGTAATCATGTATGAAGACATTGTGTGTGTCAGTCTTTGCCATTACTTCGTGTAAGCTTGCATATGAGTTGTTGAATGACTTAGTTGAATGTTGAATGTTTAGTTGAATGTTGAATGGTTTAGTTGAATGTTGAATGGTTTAGTTGAATGTTGAATGACTTAGTTGAATGTTGAATGGTTTAGTTGAATGTTGAATGACTTAGTTGTTGAATGTTGAATGGTTTAGTTGAATGTTGAATGGTTTAGTTGAATGTTGAATGGTTTAGTTGAATGTTGAATGACTTAGTTGAATGTTGAATGGTTTAGTTGAATGTTGAATGGTTTAGTTGAATGTTGAATGGTTTAGTTGAATGTTGAATGGTTTAGTTGAATGTTGAATGGTTTAGTTGAATGTTGAATGGTTTAGTTGAATGTTGAATGAGTTAGTTGAATGTTGAATGAATTAGTTGAATGTTGAATAATTATGTTGAATTGTTGTCGTTGAACATTGAATTTTTGTTGAATTAAACAAAATATTAGTTTACTGAATATTGCTACACTTGGCGTGCCATATTCTAGACTACCGTATTTACTCGATTGAGCGCCGCCGCCGAATGAGCGCCGCATTTGAGATCAATTTTTTTAAAAGAGCGCCGCCCCCGAATGAGCGCCGCACTAAACAGTGTAAAAACTTCCCGCCGTCAAAGTGGGGACATTTAGAGACAAGGACATTTAAAACTTGTTTATTTTTTTGTTAAAAGTTCTTGTTATAATTCACAAATAAAATATTTTTTAAAGAGCGCCGCCCCCGAATGAGTGCCGCATCTGAAGCTCTGAAAATTTAAATAGCGCCGCGGCGCTCAAACGAGTAAATACGGTAAGTAGGAAAACTACTAGAAAATACATGCATGCAGCAACCCCTCGCCTTTCTTAAAGCCTAGTTTCCATTTGGTCGTTAGTTGTCGCTGGCACGACAAGTGGCTGATGTAATACAGTGTGTATAAAAAAAAACTGAACCCTTTCAAATTCAAATTAGCTATAACGTATTGTAGTAATTTGACAGCTCTAATTGCTTTAAATTAATGGTTGGATAAGAACACTAGGTCTTGTACTCATGCGACAAAACTCAAAGAAATAAAAATTAGAAAATTTAAAAGAAATACAGCAGTCCTTGTGTTCTTACCCAACCATTAATTCAAGGAAATTAGAGCTGTCAAATTACTACAATACGTTATAGCTAATTTGAATTTGAAAGGGTTCAGTTTTTTTATACACCCTGTAGAACGTCAACAAGACTTTATAAAACTCTGCAATCATTAAGACTGATTTGCATATAACACACAAAAAGGCTATTATTATATTAGACTATTTCACATCTACCGCTTGTCGTGCCAGCGACAACTAACGACCAAATGGAAACTAGGCTTAACAGATGAAGTATAAAAACTCCACATAAAACATTAAGACCATTATAAACAAACATAAAAACACAACTGATGCGCTAGCTTTATCCCCGAGCCGACGGCGCGAAGCGCCGTGCGAGGGTACTAATTCCGCACGGTTATTTACACCCGGGTGTTTGAGAACATAGCGAAGTGCAAAGTTTTCCTCCATTATGTGATGGAGGGTCTTCGACGTTATGCGCGTGCGCGAGTACAAGCTCGGACTAAGAAAATGTTTTTCATTTTGCAAAGATGTATTTCGCTGTTTTACAAAATATTTTTGCGATGTAGTTCGCTTTTAACTGGAAACAAGCCTGCAGTTTCATGAATTAGTGGCTGTCAACCGTGAAACAAAGTGTGAAAAGCATGTATATACACGGATTGTGTCGAAGACGAACCACAGGCGGCCCAATCTTGCAAGGGTCAGTATAGACTTATAGTATAAATGTATATTATATTAATGTATATTATAGTAAAAATATGTCGTAAAATATAAATTTTAAAATGAAATTGACTTGCCTATTTGATAGTGTGTGTTCTCCTTTTATTCCTCCTTTGTTGGACTAATATATTCCGAGACTTTGTACTCGATGTTACTAGTATACATGAAACATGATAAAGGCTAACGATTCCCGATCGTCGATACGACGGCACGGCACTTCGAATCGAAAATTCTTACACTCAAATCGCTTTATTCTCCAAAAAAATTCGCCAGCATGTACAACAAATGTCGTTCTTCGAAAATACGGAGGTACTTCGGCGAGATGTACAAGTTTTGGACCATATTTTAACAATGGAAATCAAAACCCATTTTATATTGAACTTGCCCAGACCGAAAATTACTACGGCGAACGTCTGCGCAACCAGGCCTCCTTTACCGTTGGATTTACAGGGGGGAGGATGCCACTAATATATTCACGATAATATTTCGAATTAAAGTATCATATTCTACCATGCTTTCCAACAAAGAGACGCTGTATATTACTTCTTCCTTAAATTTCTTCAATCTCCGTCGTTTAGTTTTCTTTTCTTCGGCAACATCTCGAGTTTTATACGGTATCCGATCGAGGGAGTTTTTATTTTGAATATCAAATTTCAAATAATGTAAACAGTCGCTATCGCGGCCGCGATTGCTGGCTGTTACCGGAAATATCTGCTTTCCCCCTGTACATCCAACGGTAAAGGAGGCCTGGTTGCGCGGACGTTCGCCGTAGTAATTTTCGGTCCGGGTAAGTTCAATATAAAATGGGTTTTGATTTCCATTGTTAAAATATGGTCCAAAACTTGTACATCTCGCCGAAGTACCTCTGTATTTTCGAAGAACGGCATTTGTTGTACATGCTGGCGAATTATTTTTGAGAATAAAGCGATTTGAGTGTGAGAATTTTCGATTCGAATTGCCGTGCCGTCGTATCGACGATCGGGAATCGTTAGCCTTTATCATGTTTCATGTATACTAGTAACATCGAGTACAAAGTCTCGGAAAATATTAGTCCAACAAAGGAGGAACAAAAGAAGAACACACACTATCAAATAGGCAAGTCAATTTCATTTTAAAATTTATATTTTACGATATATTTTTACTATAATATACATTAATATAATGTACATTTATACTATAAGTCTATACTGACCCTTGCGAGATTGGGCCGCCTGTGGACGAATCAGATGTTTTTTTAAAAGTAAATTTAATCGTTGTCTTGGCTATATGTTTGGGACTTGGGTAAGTGTTATAAACATTTCAGTATTAAAATTCCAGACCGTACTTGCTCTGTGTTTTCGATTTCATTCATATATCTGCGAAATTTTTACGCCAATATGTTTTTATGCAAGCTGGTATTTACATGAAATTGTATAAATGTAGTGGTTAATGTTGTTTATTTGGGGCAATTTAATAATACAGCTAGGGATCGCAACCGGAAGTCGGTTACGCATTGGAACAGCTTCAATTTCCGGTTAATATTTTCTCAAATATGCTACCTTCAGCGTGTTATTATGCAAAAGAGAGCAAACACATCATTTTAAAATTAATCATTCTAAACAAAGTAGATCTCCATCTATAAAATAAGTGTATTTTCGAAGCCTGAAGTGCCGTAGTTATGTTGTTACGAAGCATCAAATTTCGGGCATATTTGCAATTTCGCCACCATTAAAATCACGCGGCACGCATTTACTCACCTACCCGTCCCTCTTCAAGCGATTTTCCACACGTGAGCCCGACCTGAATGCAGGTTTAAAATAGCACTACCTTAAAGTTTAAAGCCTGGAGATTCTTCTGAACCCTGTCGTTCTTCAACTTTTTGAGCAGAAGACTTTGTATTTGAAAAGTCAATTTTGAAAAGCAAGATACGACTCAATTTAAAGCAAAATGTCTACAACGACAGGTATGTGCATAAACTATATGTTTTAAGGTTTCTTTTGATATATAATTTGTTTTGTTTAACGAGCGAGCTCACGTGTGGAAATTCGTTTGAATTTTAGGTAATTTTGCAAGTTCGCCAATGGCGTGCGTGGACATGTGCTCTTGGGACTGTCAAAATTGGAATAAAGAAAATTTGATTGCCCTGCTTAAAAACGATGAAAAACCTGAGTGGTGGAAAGGTAAACATAAAATATGTTATCGTTTATTTAATAAAATCATTGAAACAACCTGTAGTTTGGAGGGCAACCAGGAGGAAAGGGTGAAAAGAAGCCTTCATGTGCTTGATCCTAATATAATAATCCCTGCGCATATCAAAAACCTTAAAAGAAAGGTAGTCACTATGCTTGCGAAACACCCAGAGGGTAGCTGTACAGTTATTTTACAGCTATATAAAGAGTACGAGCAGGCATCTGTTGGCGATGAGTGTCTGAGACTTGGAATTACTGACCAAGTATTGCATGATATACTGAGTGTAAAACAGCAGGGTGTTGGTAAGGCCCCTGTTGTATTTTTAACTAATAAGTTGGTAATAGAGTTAAATGAAACAAGGGAGTGAATGGGAAAATCATGGGTTGACATCCTAACTTGGCTACGTGTTTTAAGTAATGACCATAGTTTTGGGAAAGTAGATAGTGTACGCGTAGCCATTGAACGTGCGGCTGATCATAAGCGTGAGTTAGTTCTTCACAAGAAAAAGGGGTTATGTGAAGAGTATTTAGCTAAAGAGTTCTTATTGCCTCAGCAGAAGAGTATAGAATCGGTACCAGCTCAAAATGATCCTGCAGTCCAATACCAAATGTTCTTAGATCAGCAAGCGAGAGAAATTGAAGTACTTCTGTCCCAAATGGAACATTCGAATAAAGAAGTTGAAATGTTGAGTCAACTTGTTAAGGAGCAAAGTGAGGTAGATATTGCAAAGGCAAATGAAGTTAATAGGTTGCGATCGAATCTTCATGAAATGCAAAGCAAACATGAGGCGACCTCCAAGAAATTGCAAGACGCAATGGAGAAATTAAGCAAGGTTTCAGCTCGGAATATCAACAAGAAGTTAAAGCGTCGAGATGTCACCAATGAGAAGTTAAAAGAAATGACAACACTTCAACAAGTAGAAATCGAGAAAAAAGAGACCGACTTGCAAGCACAAGCAAAAACATATGTGGATATAATTGATAGAAAAGATAAAACAATTCAATGGTTAAATGAAAGATTGGATTCTGCACTTGAAGCCAAGACCAAGGCACAGAAATTAAAGTCATATTATAAAAGCAAAGCAGTATGTCAGAAAACAGAAGGTCCTTTGTTTTCAAAAATTTCAGAATTAAAATCCCATATTGCCGAGCTTGAAAATGAAGTTGAAGTTTTGCAGGAACATATTCAAGACTTTCTAAAAACCCCAATCGTAAGAACATTCCAGAATGGCAAGTATACCGATGAGGTCAGGGCAGTATATGAAGACCTCTTGTGTTGGGGAGTAGGAGTAGAAAATGTTCAAAAAGTGGTAAGTACTGTCATAAAGAACCTTGCAGGTTTAGAATGTGAGCGACTCCCCAAGGCCACTTTTGCTAGATATATGTATTTAGAAGCTAGGCGTCTTTCTCAGATTCAAGTAGCGGAACAGCTGCTTGATGAGTGGGATTCGGGTAATCGCACCCTGCATAGTGATGGTACTTCTAAGCATGGTTACCACTATGCCACATTTGATGTGACATTAGATGGTGGCAATGTCATGGTAGCTGGGCTGCGGGACATGGCGTGCGGTGACGCTGAATCTCAACTAAATTTATTGAAAGAAGTTTTAGGTGACATTACCAGCTCAGTCGAGGATGAAAATGCAGATAAAAAGGTGATGAAGTCCATAAAGAATTTGATGTCGGACCGCTGCATTGTCCAAACGAAATTCAACGAGATTCTCCAGACATATCGACAATCCATCCTGCCTGAAGTCGTGGAAGAGTGGGATATTATGGAGGATGATGAGAAATCCAAGATCTCGAGAATGAATGATCTGTTCTGTGGCCTACATTACATTGTTGGACTTGCTGACCAAGCAGAGGAGGCTTTAAGAGTGTGGGACAAGCTCCTGTATGATGAAACAAAGGTTGGAAGCTTGAGCCAAGGTGGGTATAGTAAGGGAGGAGAAAGTGGCACCCTCCGTTTACTTCGAACAGTGTGCAAAGCTGTTCAGGCCAAAGGATGCGAGCGGTCTGGAAGAGCGGTATCCTTTGCTGACCACGCCAGAGAGAATGGCATTGAGTCAATACCCCTTGCACCATTTCTAGGAAATAGATTTAATATCATATTTCATAATGGTGGTGGTGAATTTTATTTGCATGAACACCTCAGATCATTCTTTGATATGATGAAGGATGAAAACAAACTGCTGAAGGCAGTTTATTATGACTTAGAAGTTTCTTCCTTTTTAGCAGGGTGCAGGGCCCTGGGATTGATTAACAAATTTATTACAGGTCCATTGTGGAGAGTCCTTGCAAAAGAGGATGTAAGTTTCATGGATATGAGTGCTCGATACCAGCGACTGTTGGAGTGTTTTGAAGAATGGGCACAAGACTCCACTCCTGTACTCGCAGGTGAAGCTGTGGTGTTTGATGATGTCAAACTGAAGAAAGATTTGTGCTATGAGAAGCTCATCAAAGAAGACTCTGATTGGGATCCAATGACAAAGCAAGTCCTCGAGTTGATATTTGGATCATTTGTTGTTGTAACAAAGCGAATGTTGACTGATCACCTGAAGGGTGGTAAGTACGACAAACCCGATGTCGAAATGCAAGATGAATGCAAGAATGCTCCTAAGACGAATGTTGTTCCAGAACGAGATTTTGGAATGTTGGATCGTCTTCTTGCACAAAAGCCAAATGCGACAACCTTGGTCTTTGAAGGCATTTTGATGTTCACAAAGAATGATACCAAAGGTTGGAGAGATTCACTTACCCCAGAGAAGAGAAAGGCAGTTATGGAAATGGCGCGAAATTCAAAGGCAAGCCAGCGACAGCAATTCATTGAGCGAAAGGCAATAATTAGAAAAAAGAGAGAAGAAAAGCTTGAGAAAGGAAAACAGGAAAAGGAGAGAAAAGAAACCAAGTTAAGAATGCTAAAGCAAGATTTAGTTCAGAAAGTGGAAGAACTTGGTGGAATGTGGAAAACAGACACATGTGTCGATGAGCAGGTTGCCAAAATAACCAAGGAAAAAGATAAGAAAATTGCCATCAAAACCCAGATACAGTTCCGAAAGATAGTGCTCGGCGCAAAGCATAAAGATAAAAAAGTATTTCAAATGTCATCTGAGAGTAAAGCATTTAGCAGTCAAGTGCTGGTCAGTAATCTTAAAGAAATAATTCGTCAATCCATCGAAGATAGCAAAAAGGTGACCGAGCCTGAAGACTCTCAAGTTACTCGAGTTGGTCAAAAGCTCATTTCACATGAGAAAATGTTGGAGCAAAAAGAAATATACAAACAGCGAGCCAACAAAGAAGTGGAAAAAGCTGGAGGAAAGAGGAAAGGAGACGGTCCGACCAACAATGATAAAAGATCTGCAAAGCGAAAGAAGGATGGCCAACAAAATGAAAATGTTCCAACTATAATTGTACCAGTAGATCTTGTTGGAAAACGGGTCTCTCATCATTGTTTCGAGAATGATGAAGCTGACTGGTTTGAAGGTGTTGTCATTGATATAAGTGAGACCAATAACCAGGACCCTGACCTTTACATCAGATATGATGGTTATGACTCTCTCTACATCTTTTCATACCATGATTTTAAAGATGGTAATGTCAAACTAATACCAGTATCTGAAGAGGATTTCTTGGGTAAAAAGATATCCCAAAGATTTGAAGATGAAGCTCAAAATCACAGCTGGTGGGAAAATGGCAGAGTACTACAGATTGTAGAAGGTAGTGATGACACTAACCCTGAGTTTGTCATTGAATTTGACTCCCAACCAGAAATAGATGACACTGAGGATGAGGCAAGTACTGAAAGTGAAGTTTGCATCTTCAATTTATTTGAAGATTACTTGAATAATGACTTGCGAATACTTTGAACTGCCCTGAGAACATACCCTACAGTAGTTGTGAGAAAAAGTTGTACTGCACATGTAAAATACTAATGATTGTTGGAATGCACAAGTGGCTGCGAGTGTAAAGAGTGGTGGCGTCATGTACAAGATCAACCAGGGCAATGACTGCGATACAACACCACTCTTGCGCCATTGCTGCGAAATAGTTCCAACCTGCACAATGTGCTGCGAATGTAAAGAATACTGGCATCACAGTGGAAAACCTAACCTGGAAATGACTGTGATACAGCACTCTTGCGCTATTCCAACATGTACAACTGCACGGCTGGTATTTAGTTTAAGAGGCGGTGTGTGAGGAGGCGGAGCTGAGGAAAGAGGGTGGAAGGGAGGAATGCCTCTTGAAATCCTATTTTATTAATAGAATTTCATCTGGCAATCTTCAGCTTAGGCCTGAGCCAACAAATGATACACTAATTGATAATTTACGGATAATCAATTATGCTTTCTTTTCTATTTTCAGGTCTTGATTTTCTTTAAGAGTAACTCACTCATAAAGTGTGCTGAAAATCATGAAATGAAAGAATAAATTATGGTAATTCCTGTAGAAATTTAATTAGTGCATATCATAATTTGTGTTCTTTTTCATTTTAGACTTTAATTGTCTATGATGCTATCAGGTAATAATCTGCTGAAAACCCAACTGTAAACTGAACTGTTCAGGGTGAATGGGAAATTTTAATTATTTCAACTGTTGACTAATCTATTATTTTTCATTCTTATAGTATACATAATCAACTTAAAGTACACCATGGAATAGAAGCGTCAATGCATTCAACCTGTATGGCTTTCTTAAATGAGACAGTATGTAGAAAATAGACCAATATTAAATGAACAAGCAGTCCAGTTTGATGTATAGCTCAGGAATTTTTGTTGTTGAACCTGTATCTTTGATTGATAAACTAGTGTTACAGCAAATAATAATAATGTTTCTTGAAAAATAATTGATTTCCTCTTCAAAATGAGTAAGTTATCAATAGTATGACGTCATCAGTGACGTAATTGAGACGTCATCAGTTTTGTAGCGTCGTCATGGAAACAGTCTATGTAATTGTGTTTAGGATTGTAAGGTGTACAATAATGAAACTATCAAAATATTTCAGTAAGTTTAGTAAATTTTGGGCAAAGATACGCAAAATTTTCCAATTAGAATGTATGCAAAAATGACGTCACATGGTTACCATGGTAACTGAGCAGTGTTGTCTGTGGTACCGTTGAGCTTGTGATGCTATCTGACACACATTTAGTTTTTATATATTAATGTTTTGTGATAAAAAATGCACGCAAATTATGTATTTTAGTGCATATTGTTCATAGCTATGACGTCGTTGTGACGTCATCATATTTCCATGGTGACGCAGTTTTGTAACATTTTACCAACTAGTATTACTTATTTGATGTATAACATGCCATACAACACTTTTGTAATGGTTTTTTAGTAATAAATTATCTAATTTCAGTTTTCGCGTTTTTTCTTTGTCATTCAATGACGTCATACGGTTTCCATGGCAACGGTAAGTGTCCAACTGTTGCACTATGTTGTTGCTGTGTATGTTACCAATGTACTCTGAAAATATTGTGGTGATCGGACGAAATGTCTAGAAGTTATGAGCTTATATGTTAAAAAATCAGCATAAAACCAAGCATTTTGGTGCCACATTTCGCACCTACAATCGTGGACAAAACTGTTAATAAAACTAATTAATATCATAATGAAATTGCATTAACCAAATTGTATTCCACATTCTGCCCCCCTTTCCCCCATTCAATGTTGGATTCGCCATCCCCACACTATAGACCCATTACTGCAACATTGTTCCGGGGGGAGAGGGGGCCCATGTGGCGTGATGCGCATGTATTAACGAATATTGAACAAAAATGTACATAACTGCGAGTTTTATTAACAGGTTTTGTCCACGATTGTCTGACCTGTAATGACTGATATGTCCATAATTTCGAACGCTTGAAAAGTGGTTAAGGGTACTGGAATGATGTACTAAGGTCCATATGACGTTAGTATTACATCATAAATGTTGTACCAATTACATGTAATTATTGTACAATTAATGACGTCATAGACATCCAGTGTATAATGCTAAAAATTGTATTAAACATGGTGTTTACTGGAAAGTTTTCAGCAGAAAAGAGAGCATACATAAAACTAGTGGGGAAAACTGGAATGCATACAGCTAAAGAAGTTGCAGAAGAATGCGGAGTGTCTTTGCCAAGTGTATATAGAATATGGAATGAGAAATTTAAAAAGGATTTCAAACAAAAGCAGAAAAACGAAAGAGGTGGTGGCAGGCCTGAGAAACTGACTTTAAGACAAAAACGGTCTGTTCTGCGAAATATTAATATTTTAAGAGAGGAAAATAGCAATTTTACTTCTAAAAAATTGCTTCTCAACTCAGGAATAAACCCAAAGGATATTTCTTCACGCACATTGCGGCGTTTTTT